TTGGCTGAGGAGCATGAGTGCTGCCTCTGAAAGAAGATGTTTATGCAGGTTTTCAAACAAACCTCTGGGTCATGACCCCTCACTCTCAGCAGCATCAACACAGCTGCCTGTGGTCCTTCTGGGGATCCCCTCCTGCAGGGGGTCCCTCCAGGGCACAGCAACCTGAAGAACAGAGATGGGACCCAGCTGCCTCCCACCTGCTTTCTCCTGGACAGGAATGCCCAGGTCTCTCTGAGACCTCCCCCACCCTCTTCACTGTCAGATCTCCCCGTTGCCATGGCAACCCCAGATCCTCACCTTTGGAAATGGAGAGTCCGGGCCTCTGCAGGCAGCCTCTTTGAGAGCAAGAGAGGGGAGAGTGCGTGAGAGAGCCAGTGAAATAGAAAGAGAGAGGAGGGAGGGGGGCAGGCTGCTGTAATACACAGAGCCTAGAATTAGCAAACTTGGACTCTGTTTCTGAATTTGCCATTCAGGAGCGGTATAAGCCCAGGCCAGAGACCGGTCTTTGGAGGCACCGTTTTTGACTTGTGACCAGGTGGCAACCTTGCCTCGTAGGCCAGATTCGTGAAGACAACCTGACACCCTGGAGGTACTTTAAAACATACGCATTATTAGCGTGTGTGCACACACACGTGTGCCTGTGTGGTGGTCAGACAATAGCAGACTCTCCTTCTCTCGTGTGGCTTTTGGGGGTCACACTCACTGTCAAGCCTGCAGGACAACCGCGTTCACAGCGGCCCATCTGTCCGGTTCACCGGGATGCTCGTCTAACCAGCTCTCAGACAGGACTCAGAGTTTCCTCCCTTCCCCCAGGGGGATGGTAGGCTACACCGCTGTTCCATAATTGCATATGCTTCCAGTGCGGCCTGGGGTGAGTGGGTGAGTGGGTCTTCAATGGAACTGGCCCATTTCTAATCATATTTGAGAGCAAACGCCTCCTGGAGGGGAGTGAGGGTGCAGGAGAGAAAGCACTAGGAAAGTACTAGGAAATAATATTCTCTCCTAAGCTGTGGAAAAGGACTCTCTCTCTCTCTCTCTCTCTCTCTCTCTCTCTCTCTCTCTCTCTCTCTCTCTCTCTCTCTCTCTCGCTCTCTCTCTCTCTCTCTCTCTCTCCTTAATATTTCCTGAAAACTCCTCTGGTAGCTCATTGGGTAGGATGTGCATGTGGGTGGGGGTGGGGTGGCAGCGGGGCGCGCGGGTTGTGGTGGGGGGTAAGCCAGCACTTTGATGTGTGACCTTCTATGTCTTTCCTAAGCAGTGCCAAGATGGATAATGTTTTAGATACTGTCCTCTCAGGCCGTAGCACACTTTTGGGAAGTGGTAGGACCTTTAAGAAGTGGGACTGGACTAGGCCTTCTGCATAGGGAGAGAGTTGTGTAGCTTGATCTGCTTAAGGGGCCCCCTGGCAGTAGGATCAGAATCCAAGAATCCATCCCCGGTCCCCGGTGTGTGTGTGTGGGGGGGGGGGGAGTGGGAGGGGGTTGGACCTGCCTCTACTATATGTACCTCCCCATAGGAGGCCTTACCTTCTTGTAGGAGGGAATGGGGGGTGGTTTGGGAGGGGGAGGCTGGAGGGTCGGGAGGAGGGAAGAGGGAGATTGTTGATTGGTATGTAAAATGAATAAAAAATTTTCTTAATAAAAAAATGAAGTGGGGCCTCAGGTAAGGGAGTTAGGTATTTGGAGGTGTGCCTTTGGAAAGTCCCTTGATGCCCTGGCCTCTTCTCACCACCACCACCGCCACCACCACCGCCACCACCACCACCACCACCACCACCACCACCCGGCACACCCACTCTGATAGGCTGCCTCCGCACAGGCACATGAGGATGACTGTGGACAGAAACCACAAAAAAACTGTGAGCCAAGAGAAGCTTCTCTTCTTGCATTGATTGTCTTGGGTATTTTGTCGCCGTGACAGGAAGCTGATTCACAGTGGACCTGACAGGTGGCTCTCCCAGCAGTGAAGACCAGCTTCCACCATCAGTGGCCTGTTAGCAAACAGGCTATACATTTCACACACCTGCCTGGAGACTTCTGGGTTCTGTTCTTCATGATTCATACCTTGAGCACCCACACCTCATCTTACATAGCAACCCTGGGGTTCCAGATGTCTCCCCTGATCCCAGCTAAGCCAAGGGCTCTGCCCACCTTCCCTCTCCATGGCAAGAATTTGAATCTAACACGCCCATGAGGGTTCTTCCTTGTGTTCTGGGCTCATACCTGAGCCACTACAGTGTGCAACTCCCTGTCTTGGGCCGATTTATTTCTCCTTCATTTACTTAGAAAGCTTGCTGTGGCCTCCTGGCCCCCAGCACCGTGCCGGGCTGCAAACAAACTTCCTGCTGGCTGAAATTGAGATGGTTCAGTGGGTAAAGATGTTTGCAGCCAAGCCTTGTAATCCAAGGTCCATCTCTGTAATCCACAGGGTAAAAACAGAGAACCAACACTTCTGTACATTGCCCTCTTACCTCCATATTCATGTCATGTCCATGTACACACACATACACACACACACACATATATGCATGCAAACACATACTCATATATGCATATATATGTGAATGTTTTAAGAAATTGTATTTTAAAATTTTAAAGATCTGAGATCAATTTCAGTTCTTTGGAGTGCTCTGAGGTTAAGAACAATTGCTATGCAATTGTGAGTTCAATCGGAATCCACACAGAAAACCAGGTGTGTTCGTGCATGAGTCTGCACCCCCAGTATTGTGAGGGAGCAGAGACTGGGCTTGCTGGAAACCAAGATGCTTCAGGTTCAGTAAAAGATACAACCCCCTCAAGGAGTAAGAGAAAAAGTCATAGAATGGGACACGTGACATCCTCCTCTGGCCTTCATGTGCATACACAGGCTTACATATGCACATATACCTCCCCCCCCCCTCTCTCTCACACACACACACACACACACACACACACACACACACACACACACACACACACCAAAAATTACTTAAATATGATTTCAGCATTTCTTTTGAGTAGCTTAAAGATCTTGCAACATTAATCTGACCCTGGAGTGGAAAAAAAAATCCAACTCCAACTCAGATTTTCCTCCTGTCCATTCATAGCTCTGGTCACCTGTGATCCCAGAGGGTGTGGTGCTTTTACCCACCTGCAAGAACCAGTCATCGTCCCTGGACAACAGCTGGATGTCCCCTAGTGCAATCAGCTCTGACATTATGAACCTAGGGAAAGCATCTGACCCCAACTTGGGGTTGAGGGCCCCGTCCTCAAGATGGCCTCACTTCATACAACCAGCTCTAAGCCCAGGCCTCTATAATAAAACAGGGTCCTTCTAAAATAAGCATCCTATCACTCAACTATCTCATAAGGTAGAGCAGTGCACTGGTTTTTATTTCAACTTGACACAAGCTAGAGTCATCAGAGAGTGGGGGGAGCCTCGATTGAGAAAATGTCTCAATAAGATCGGGCTGTAGGCAACCCTGTAGGGCATTTTCTTAATTAGTGATCAAAGAGGGAGGGTCCAGCCCATTATGGGTGGGGCCATCCCTGGGCTGATGGTCCTGGGTTCTATAAGAAAATAGACTGAACAAACCATGGGGAGTAAGCCAGTAAGCAGCACTCCTCCATGGCCTCTGCATCAGCTCCTGCCTCCAGGTTCCTGTCCTGTTTGAGTTCCTGATCTGACTTCCTTCAATGAACTGTTGTAGCAACAGAAGCCAACACTGTTGTAGAAATATAAGCTGAATAAACCCTGTCCTCCCTATCTTGCTTTTGGTCATGGTGTTTCATCATAGCAACAGTAACCCTGACTAAGACAGGCAGAGAAGTCCTTGACAAAAGCAGAAAAGGGTGGTAATAGATTAGTTTCTAGGGGATGCTTGGAAAAAAGAAATCTCAGTTTGCAATGCTCAGCGTTGTATGGAGGGTCAGGCAAAAGGACAGCATCAGATGGTAGCGATGGGTTTTTCTTTCTAAAACTTACTATATCCCAATCGTTTTCTAGCCTCTAAAGAAATAGCAAGGGTCGGGGACGGGCAGCCATGAATGGTGCGTGAAAACAGCAAGGACCACAAAATCTTACAACCCCTGTGACTACATTCGAATGACACATTCACCTGTGTCCTCTGCCAGTGTGGCAGGCCTCTCTGTCCCTTGCCACCTGCCTGGTCTGCTTGCTTTTATTCAGTCTGCCTGCTCACCCTTACTCGGCAGCTTTATTTTACCCTTGTTACTGAGGAACAATAACAACACTGCTTGACTTACAACAGGGCCAGGTCTCGATGCCCCTGTCTTAAGTTGAACACGCTATAAGGGAACATGCATCCCGTTCACCTGACCCACTGAGCTCTGTAACTCGGGCTTGCCCTCTTCAGTCCGCTCAGAACACTCCACTAAATCCTCTGGGGTAGTAATCTCCTGCAGTTGTGTAGGCATGTTTTGTACTGTGGTAAAGTCAAAACATTTAAGTGAACTCTTGGTGAGTCTGGGGACCGTGCGTGCCTACGAGTGTGTGTGTGTGTGTGTGTGTGTGTGTGTGTGTGTGTGTGTGTGTGTGTGTGTTCAGCACTTCCTTGGGTCAGTTTGAGCTATTTTGTCACTGTTCTGGCAATGGAGGTAACAACCAGTAGGAACACAATCCTTCCCTTTCTGGAAACGTCCATTTTGACAGACAATTTGGGGTCTACCAATGGACGTGGGGAAGGGGTGCCATCATAGAGTGGTGGATGAAAGGCCTTGCTGAAAAGGTGACTGGGTGAAGGATTAGAAAGGCATCCCATGCAGAGAGAAGTTAAGACCAGGCTTTTTGGAGCCCACTACCTATGATGGGACACCTTGGCACAGCCTTGAGGCAGGGGGAGGAGCTTGGACCTGCCTCTTCTAAATGTACCTCCCCATGGGAGGCCTTACCTTCTTGTAAGAGGGAATGGGGTGTGGGTTTGGAGGGTGGGCAGGAGGAGGGAACAGAGGAATCTTTGATTGGTATGTAAAATGAATAAAAAAAATTTCTTAGTTAAAAAAAAAAAGGAACATGCCCTAGGTTAAGTGGCAGAGCTGGAATTTAAACCCAGTTGTCTCAAGCCCCCAAATCCCTAACCACAGCCTTATAAGGTTCTGTGGGTGCCCCTGGGATGGGGGAACACACACAGGGACCAGAATGACTCTTCCAGGACTTGAGTGCAGAAGAATGCTTGATTCAAGGGTCCCCACTCTGGTCCTTTCTTCTCAGCAGACACAGAGGAGGTGAGTGACTACCCTTAGCTCTTTATTTTAATCTCAGGAGGGCTCTGTGCCCCTCCTCCCTCCAAGGACTGGGAGGAACTGTCTGCAAATCCCCCCTAATCCATCAGCACCTGGGTCTCCACCCTACAGCTGCACACAGCCTCGCTAGCCAGGCGACCACACTTGTCCCTCCCGCCCCCACGCCGCCCACTCTCCCTCACCATGGGGAACAGCAAGAGCGGGGCTCTGTCCAAGGAGATCCTGGAGGAGTTGCAGCTCAACACCAAGTTTACCGAGGAGGAGCTGTGTGCCTGGTACCAGTCCTTCCTGAAGGAGTGCCCCAGCGGCCGCATTACGCGGCAGGAGTTCGAAAGCATCTATTCTAAGTTCTTCCCGGACTCAGACCCTAAGGCCTATGCGCAGCACGTGTTCCGCAGCTTCGATGCCAACAGCGACGGTACGCTGGACTTCAAGGAGTATGTGATCGCGCTGCACATGACCACGGCGGGCAAGCCCACGCAGAAGCTGGAGTGGGCCTTCTCGCTCTACGACGTGGATGGCAACGGGGCCATCAGCAAGAACGAGGTGTTGGAGATCGTCATGGTCAGTGTGTCTCTGTCCCTGTCGCCTGTGTGGGATGGGGAGGAGGGCATGGGGTGGAGGCCACAGATGCTGTGTAGCCCAGTGGAGTGGGAAAAGGAAGGACCACCAACGTACTGAGAGAATCAGAGGGTACCTCCCCATAGTGTCATCTGCTTCCCAAAGAACAATCGGGGTGTTTCCTAATACAGTTCAAATTTTCCCTTCCTCCTTCTTCCCTCATCCCTCCTCCTCCCCCTCCCTCCTCTCCCTCCCTCTTCCCCCTCCTCTCTCCCTCTCTTCTCTTCCTCCTTTCCTCTCTCTCTTTCCCCTTTCCCATTAAGTCTTCAGTTTTTGGGTTGTTTTGTTTTGTTTTATTCAGTAACACACATTTAGATTCTACGACAGTAAAGTTGAAACACATACGTTTCAATTATAAAGCATTGACCACAGTGGGGGACATGGAATCTAGGTCCTGATTGGTTCTCTTCCTGATCCTGGTGTGGTGGGCCTAGGCAGGGATCCTCAAGGTTCCCGCTCCACTCCGTGGAGTTCTCTGTCTCCTCTCCTTTCTGCCTACAGTTTGTTCTGAGTATTTTTGCTGTCTTACAAGTAGTTCTTTTTTTATTTAATATATAATCAGTCTGTGAAACTTAGAAATGATGCCAAAGGGATGTTGCAGACTAAAATCCATAACCAATGTACTGACTGTTAGTCCATTGCTACCCACCTTTCCAGTGTTTTATCTGCTTTAAGACAATTCCGGAATCCTAACATATTTACATGTGACTTTTCCCCATGCCTTTCCTGTTATTCTTTTATCATGAATATTTTCTATATCATCACAAATTTTTCAGAAATATTTTTCTGGGAGTCTCCCTGTGCCGTTCAGGCTGTCCTCAGGTTCTCAGCTTTCTTGCTTCAGTCCCCACAGTAGCTGGGATTACAGATGTGACCATAGGCAGTTTAAAAATATGTTAAGAGCTACTTAAAATTCTACCCTATGGAAATGTCCTAAGGTCATTCATTCAAGCATTCCTAGAGTTTTAGACATCAGAGAACTTCAGTTCCCCCCCCCATATTATGTCACTGAAGTTCTTTCTTTGAGTGTCTTCCGATTTTCCTCCTAACCCAGCCCCCCTCCCCCGTCCCTATCACTTGCTTTATTTTTTGAATTCCATTCCTGTTAGAAGGGACAATATTCTTCATATTTTGTGTAATGTTTGGTACATTTGTAATCATGCTTTTTTGCTTGCAAAATTCTCCCTGTCCCTTATTAGGATAAACCACAAACATAATAGCAAGGCCTGTAGCTAGGGGCAGGCTAGGTCATCTCTGGAAAAGGGTCCGACAAGTGGCACTCTCACTGTCTGTGGGGCAAAGCCTAGAGCAACCTCCTCTGGGTTAGTTTTGGAGTCCCTGGGTGGCACGGGGTGGGGACCAATTCAAAGCCACCTAAAGCGTGCTAGGTTGATGCTCTTCTAGGAAAAGAGGAAGGAGAGGAGCAGAGAGAAGAGGTAGGGAGGAAAGGCTGAGGCTGTGCAGTGTCCAAGGCCTCGCTAGTCACCGGGTCACAAGGTCATTGTGAAAGCATTGGTCTGGAAGCCAGAAATGATGAGTTCTTGTGCCAGTTCGGACACCAACTCACTATTCGACCGTGGGAAATGCATACAACCTCCCCTGGTCCAGAGTGAGGCTTTGATGATTTCTATGGCCTTTCCCAGAACCCTGAAGGCTTGACTCCCTCCCACTCCACCACCAACCAGCTCAATGTTGGAGGAGAGGTTACACAGAGAGCCAGTCACAGCCAGTATTTAGCCATCATGCCTGGACATGGTGCCGGTAGATCAGGAGAGAGGAATTCTGGGAGTCATCTATACTTCTGCTCATTTTAGGGGGTCTGTGTGCTGCCTATAAAGGCCCTTCCCTGGACTACCAAGGTTGGTGTCCTTCTCATCCTAGCACCAGTGGGCAAGAGCACTCCTTATGGATGTTGACCCCCCTGAAGTCCAGGCTAATTTCACAGGCATTGTTACCCTTTTGTAGTGTCCTTGAGTCTCCAGGGAGGCAGGGGGTTTGGTCAAAGGCAGCAGCTGCCCAGGTTCTCTTGTCAATGTACCTACCCACAGTCTGAGCCTGCCTAACAACTGAGGATCTATAGCCTTGAGTGTCCTCTGTGAACCTGGCTGGACCCAGAGCTGCTGAGCCAGTAGAATCCTAGAAACCTGGTATCAGGATAAATAGGGACCACCTTGTTCACTTCTCTGATGTCATATAGGTCAGGAGCACTTCTGGCTTTGTCCTCGATTGGAGGAATCCTAACATATTTACATGTGATTTTTCCCCATGCCTTTCCTGTTATTCTTTTATTATGAATATTTTCTATGTCATCACAAGTTTTTCAGAAACATTTTATTTTTCTGGGAGTCTCCCTGTGCCGTTCAGGCTGTCCTCAGGTTCTCTGCCTTCTTGCCCCAGTCCCCACAGTAACTGAGATTACAGATGTGACCTCAACCAGATTAAAAATATGTTAAGAGCTACTTAAAATTCTACCCTATGGAAATGTCATAAGGTCAATCAGGATAAATAGGGACCACCTTGTCCAATTCTCTGATCTCATATAGGTCAGGAGCACGTTTGGCTTATTGGAGAGAGAAGAGGCTGGAGGGGATCCATGGGCCCAACACCCAACCTTTCTCTGGATTCCTCCCTCAGCTGGAGGGTATCTAAGGGAATTTCTGTGTCCCAAGCAGACCTTCGCAAGTCTTGTTCACACCTCCCTTCCACCTCACCAACCTAGTCTATGATCTTCAGAAATGAGCTAAGCAGCCTCGGGTATAATGCAAGAATGCAGATTCTAGAACCAATCTGCCAGTGTTAGAATCTCTGCTGCCCTGGGTAACTTTGCAGAAGTTTGATGTTTCCAGGTTTGTTTGTTGTCTGTAAAATGGGACCAACAACATCCTCTCTGTAAGGTTCTCTTGAGAATTAATCTAAAAATGCTTAGAAAAGTGATGTGAGTGTTTAGATAGATGCTAGCCTTTATGGTCGTAGGCTAACATCTGGTTAGTCCTGCTAGAGAACTGGGAAACCTTGCAGACCCAGAAGACACTGCTTGATTCGTTCAAGCCTGTGGGAGGCAGGGTCTATGCTAGTGGCCCCCAAACTTCAACCTTGGCACTGCTGTGGGATTATTGTTGGATATTTCTATTTATTACTTTTTTTTTCCTGAACAAAACTATGGCGTCTACTCAGAAAATTCAAATGGCACACTAAAAAGCAAGTTTTCCTCCATATTCACTGTCCCTTACAAAGGTCTCAAAGGTGCTGATGATGCCTGGGTCCCGCCCTCAGGAATTTTGATTCAGTAAAACATGTGGGGCTTTGGTAGGCACCTGGACTGTAAACTTGTTGCCTTAGAGGGCAGCTGATGCTCCAGGCTGTTTGGGCATCAAGAAAGAGAAGTCATGATGTGGTGGCCCAAACAATGGCCAGGGGCTTTCTTTTCTACACATCCTCTCCAACACTTACCTCTGGTCTTTGTGTCTGAGGTGGGAGTGTTTATTGCTGTGCTGAGGATCAAACCTGGGCCTCCCACATGCTAGAGCTTTACCCCAGCCCCATCCAACAAGAGACCCAGACAAGGCAAGCTTTTACAAGAGTAGCTGTCCCAACAGGTGGAAGGGATACCTCGCTATGGTCTTGATTTCCATTTACCTAATGACTAATGAAGCTGAGCACCTTTTCACATACTTGTTGGCCATCTTTATCTTTTCTATTTATTTTTTTTAAGAAACGTCTGTCCAGTTCCCTTGTCTGTTTATAATTCAGTTATTTATTGTTTTGTTTGCGTTTGGGTGTGGTTTTGTTGGTTTTGTTTATTTGTTGTTTTTGTTTGTTTGTTTGAGACAGAGGCTCACTATGTAGCCCTGGCTATCCTGAAGCTCCCTGTGTAGACCAGGCTGGCCTCTTTCTCTTTTTCCACCACCCTCAACAGCACTTACTGTTTTAGCATTGAGTTGGAGGTGTTCTTCATATATGCTATATACTAATCCCTTATTAAAGTAATCCTTATCAAAGGATTGTAAATATTTTCTCCTATCCCAAGGTTATCTAATCTTGCTGTCTCCTTTGTGGTGTAGAAGCTTCTTAAGTTTTAATATAATCCCAATAGTTCAAATATCATTATCACAACCAATGTCATGAAGCTTAATGCGCCCTCCAGGAATTATATAGTTTGGGCTAGAAAATTAAGTCTTTAAGCCATCTCTGGTAGATTTGTGTGTGTGGTGTGAGACTCGGATTTCTCAGGACCGCCAAGCCCTTACTGCTCCTTGTGACTAGATATTTCTCTCGGTCTGCTACAGGCTATTTTCAAAATGATCAAGCCTGAGGATGTGAAACACCTTCCAGATGATGAAAACACCCCAGAAAAGCGGGCTGAGAAGATTTGGGCATTCTTTGGAAAGAAAGAGGATGGTGAATTCCTTTATCTTTATTATTTCTGACTTTACAGCCTCTGCTATTTCCTGGAGACCCCCAGCAGGATTCCCTCTTCTGAGTCCCAGTGCCCAGGCCGGGGATACTTCTTGTCACCACACTTTCTCCAAGCTATCTTCAAAGTCAAGGGTAGTGGTTAGCCAGATGCATCGGCAAGGACTAGGTCTACTACTACCCTCCAGCCGACGGGGGGTACCAACACACCCCTATTACTCACCAAACTCACTCACTACCTGGACTTGTTGGGGAAGGAAGGAAAACACTATATATCCCAGGTTGACAGTGAACTAGTGGTCCTCCTGCCTCAGCTTCATGAGTACTGGGGTGTCAGGTTTGGCAGTCTTTTAACCTAGAACTAATGTAAAGTATGCAGGCTCACTGACCATGTGTACACACTGGCAAGTTTACAGGAATGCTGCCTTTTCTCTCTTCTAGCTGCTTGCTGTGCGGATGTTCCCTGCACAGTGAGAACAGGAGTAGATGGCCACTCACCCAGCAGAGACCCCAGGACTAACCAAGAAGTTAGTTTCAGTGACCTCAAAACCCTACCAAGAAGGGATTAGATTCAATGACATTGCTAGGAGTTTATTGAGACAGCCACCAAGGGAAACCGGGGAGGGACCTGTGGCTGGGAAAGTCCATGTCATGAGGACCTGGCCCCCATCTGGGAATCAGTACAGGGATAAAGGACGAGGAGGAAGGATAGGTAAGAAACACCTAGGCCGTGACACTCTAAGACAGTGCCGGCAGTCATTGGGATGTCCTCACTGGGCCTCTCAGTGTCCTTGCGCTGCTTAGTGACTGCCTGGGAGCAGCCTCTGGAGCTTGAAAGAGTGATGAATTCCAGAATGCGGCAGCTGGAGCTGTTGGTTCATGGCACACATGGCCATTATGGGAAGGATACAGTACAAGAATTGGTATCATCTCACACACACACACACACACACACACACACACACACACACACACACACGTGCAAGCATGCACGCACGGTGGGAGCGGGGGAGGGGGGGCAACGACAGACAGACAGACAGACAGAAAGAGTCAGACTGACTTAGTGTCAGACAGGGTCTACAGATTCATAGCCACACGGGGCTTGATAATATACTTGAGTGCAGTGGATGATAGCCCCACTGAGAGACAGGAACTGGTAAACAGCCCTGAAGAGTTCTCACATTTCCCCTTGGGAAATACGGAGCTTATTGCTACCATGTCGTATAATTTTCTTTTATTTTTTTAAGAGATATAAGCATCCAAATTGTTTAAAACCTGAGGTGTCTCAATAAATACAGTACAGCGTGGCTCAGGCATGTCTGACACACCCTGGTGTGTCCTCTGGAGCACGCCCTTACCAGGGCTAAAGAAACAAATCCTCAGAAGGATACAAAATAGAGGTGGAGATGATCTGTCCCTACTCCACAGTCCAATGATGGCGTCAGAGGAAGACCCTGGGGCGGGAGCCAGGGTGAGGCAAGCAGGCTCTTGGAGCGCACAATTCATAGCGGTGCTCACTCTCAAGGGGCAGCCGTATCCCTGCACCCCCCTAAAAGTGAACAACTCCTTACATATTGTGCCTAGACACTCCCCTGGCTCCATCATGCACCCAGCCCCATTGGCACTTGTCCCCTGGACTCTTGGCTTGCATGGATTCTGGCTGGGTTAGATGGCTTCCTGTGACACTTAGCTTCTGAATCCTCCCCCACTTCCCTCTGGATCTGTCCATGTATCAGGGTCCCTCTGCTACTGTTTGCTAATCTGAAAAGTGCTCCACAGGAAAGGCTGGTGTTAGAAGGCTGGCTGTCACTCCTGCTGGTGTGTGTGTGCGCGTGTGTGTCTGTGTGTGCGTGTGTGTGTGTGTGTGTGTGTGTGTGTTTCACATGCCTCATCTGAAGACAGCGTTGTCATAGTAGCAGGCTCCAGGGATGGGACTTTCGAGCTTGGAGTGAGGCTGGTGAGGCAGTTAGAACTTTGAAATACAATTTCACCACCCAGACTTAGGCAGAGAAGTATCCTGGATCCCAGCTCCAATGAGAACTAAGGATGTCCAAAGGCCGTGAATGTAAGCCAAGGGAAGTCGAATCCAACTCTGCGGTATTGTGTCCACACTGTACGGAGGATCGTGAGAGTGACCGTGAACAGGAAAGATCTGTCTCATCCTAGACGTCCTTCTACACAGGAATGTCTTCCCACAAGACCCTCTGAGGATGAGCTTTGCCTCACTCTCTTCTGCCACACCCCACCCTCTGTGATGTTTGTAACCCCAAGAACAGCAGCATGAGGCACAGAGAGGAAGGGTGCAGTGCCATGCTTTGGCTGCATACACACACACACACACACACACACACACACACACACACACACGTGCACATACACACGCATGCACGCACACAAGGAAGCCTGGCTGGCTAAAAGCAGAGGCTCTCTCCATCCTCATCCCAAATGAAGTAGAACAGATTGAGAGATGAGGAACTGCAAGCAGGGGAGGCAGTCACAAAGGACGTGTCACCTGGTGTCACAAGGTTGTTTGAGTATTATGGGCACACAAGAGACTTTGCTGCAAGCAAGGCTATCCTTAGCATGCCTCTATTCCCTTGATCTCTCACTCGTCACTCCTTTGGGGACACAGTTCCTACTTCCCCACTGAGACTTTCGGCCTGCCTCTCTCAGGCTCCTAGATTTTCCCCCAGAACTTTAGGCTAGAGCTGTGGGGTAATTTTGAAAGCATATGAAAAGAGGTATTTATAATCATTGATGATTTCGATGTGTAATAACCAGCAAGGCAAGAGCTCTGCCCAAGCAGAAGGAATAGGGTATAGGAATAGGTTCTTCGAGACATCTATGATGCGAGTATTTGGTTGTCTTGGGCTGATTTGAGGGAGGTTCAAGGGTCTTGAAGGAGGGGTGATATCTGGGAGGGTAGTGGGGGTCCCTGGGAGTGCTGAGTGTTCAGTATATTTTCACACAGTTTTACTCGGAGTGGAGGCTGGGTATCATCGCCTTTTGCAGCTTGCGACAGCCAGTCCTGACTAATGCTTCTCCTCGACTGCACAGATAAACTTACAGAGGAGGAATTCATCGAGGGGACCCTGGCCAATAAGGAAATTCTACGACTGATCCAGTTTGAACCTCAAAAAGTGAAGGAGAGGATAAAGGAAAAGAATCAGTGATGGGAACTGCTCATCTCCTCCCCCACCCCTCACATAAACACCCGCAGTGTGAGCATGCTCGTATGTCAGCATGCTCGCGTGCACGCACGAGTGGGCACACACACACACACACACACACACACACACACACACACACACACCCTGGGCCTGGAGAGATGGGGAACCAAACCTCTCCTTGCCAACTAAAGGTCCTTAGCAGGACACGGTTTCTGCTTCCTTTTGTCTTCGGTGACCCTCCCTTCACACCCTACCTGTCTCCTTCTCCTGCCCAGGTAGCCTTGTGATAATCCCAGGCTTAGGTCATAGGAGTCCCAAATGTCAGCCCTGCTTAAGCTCCTTTGGGGATTGCTGGGTAAGCAGGTTGCAATAAATGCAAAAGGACTGGGCACACAGCTGGCTGGTCATTCTCCACCTGGAAAAGGAAACGCTTCCTGGCAGCTGGAGGGGTTGATGTGATTGCAGCTCTAGGCCAGCGAGGGTGCTGAAGGAGATGCGCGTGGCCCTGAGTTGTGCTCTCCTGAGCGATAAAGGTCCCGAGGGAAGATGATGGATCTTGTTTCTTCGGGTTAGGATTTTTTCAAGACGAAGTCTCACACTGGAACCTATACTGATCTTGAACCCAGAACAATCTACCTGCTTAAGCCTTCCATGAGCTAGCATTACAGGCATGGGCCTCTCCACCAGGCGGATGGAGCTTGATGCCAGGACCAAGGTTACCATGGTGACTTGCAGAGCACTAAGGGAATACATAACACTCTAGGGGCTGGCCTGTCAGTAATGACTAGAGAAGCTGTTTCCGATGAAGTGATACATTCAGACCCACTCACAGCAGACTCCAGGGGGAGATGGGAGGAAGGCAGAGAGCTCGCATCTCAGAGTGACTGGCACAGCCACGCATGCAGGAAGGGGCATCTGCTTCCAGAGAACTGTAAACCCGAAATGCCCTTCGCAGCCTTTGCCGCTGTGCCAGTACAAGTGGGAAAGGTTTGTTTTGGTGAGCAAGCTCCTAGCAGGGTGGATAGAATACATGGGCAAGACTGGGGGCCAATGGTGACAATGGCGGCCTGGGTTCAGGAGTGGCAGAGGGACGAAAGGACAGCTGCAGAGGGTAGCATCCTGCCACTGACACGTAAGAAAGGAGAGGAGCAAGGATGGCAGGGGGCCCGTGGCTGGCTACATAGCAGTGCCATCTACTGAGACAGGAAACCTTGGGGTGGCACTGTTTTCAGGGGATGGACAGGAGCCCTGCCTGGTTGGGTGGGTAGTGAAGAGTGAGCCACAGATGCCCCCCTCCCCCCAGGCCCTCATGTAGGAGACAAGGAAATAGAACTCACAGAAGCAGCTTGTCCAAGGCCAGCCAGCTGAGAAGCAGAGACTGAGCCAGGGACATGTACCAGGATACATGGCTCCCTTGGAGCTCCAGGGCTGGGGACACCTAAGAATGCCTCAAGTGGCTTCTCCAAGACCACACGACTCGTTGTGTAGAAAGCCTACTGATTCTCCAGCCTCAAGTTCCAAGATGAGGTCAGGGAAATATATGGATGCTCCGACCTGTACACAATCCCCTGAGGCTGGGGTGTCTCCCTTTGCTGGTGTTTGGGGTGATCCTTGCAGCTCCCAAGATTTAGCCACAGTGATGTCCCAATTACCAACCTAGAGACGCTGCTCTTGGGAGAAAGAGAACAAGACAGTGAGCACCTGAATGCTGTCTGTGAGTCAGGCACAGTGTGAGGCTCTTTGCAGTTACTATTCTAGGGATGGAAGTATTACCACATCTGCAATATAGATGAGAACACTGAGGAAAGAAGAGTAGGACTTAGGACTTATATTAGAGCCTTTCTGATGACACCAGGGTGGCTGCAGAAGTTTTGGTCCTGGACATGACAGGCTCATGAATCTTGGGATAGTTCATCATCTGTGGCAGAAGAGAGAAGCAACACGCAGCATCTCCTGGGCAATTCAGGGATGAAGGGATGATTGGGCAGATCACCTGTTTAAGATGCTTCTCTGTTATAGAAATGGTGGGCACCTGGGGGCCAGTGCAGGGAGGGGACTGGGGCATTTAGTCTATCCCACGGTGACTTAGGGATCCCCTCCAGGCCTCTTCCCATCCCTTCCTTGATTAAGACTCCTGGTGGACTACGAGACTGGGGGCTTCTTATTTCCATCTGAGGTCTGAAATCATTGTCACTCGAGTCTGAAAGAGCAGGCTGCCTAATCATGAAGTCCCTGTGGCTCCCACAGATTCACCCATAAGTCTCTTAGTGCCGGGTGCCCTTGCTGCGCCCGACACCAGATTTTCCACTACAGGCATGGTTGTAGGGCTCCTGATGTGCTGCAAAGTCCTCTGTAGGAAGATCTGTTCGAAGGACTCCATGGTAAAAGTGGCATTTATCGTGAGAAGCAGCTCTCCTAGAGCGGCCCATAGCTTTACTTCCCTCACCAGGCTTAGACACTATCCATGGAGCCAGCGGGTGATAGACACCAAGCTGTTCCCATTTTGGGCTCCTGTGAATAATGCTTCTATAGATGGCAGTAGATGCCTCGGTTCCTGCTTCCAGACTTCGGGTATTCAGTCAGAATATCTGTAGTCAGATCCAGCCATGCCTGGATTCCTGCTTCTAAACAGTGGGTATTCTATCTGAATAAATGGAATCAGATTTAGTCATTGCTCCATTTAAAAGGTTTCCACACAGGGAATGGTAACATGTGGCTGTAATCCCAGCCCTTGGGAGGCTGAGGCAGAAGGATTGTAAATTCAAGGCCACTGTGACTACATACTGAGTTTCGGGCCAGCCTTGGCTATATAGCAAGATTCTGTTTCAAGAAAAAGAAAATAATGGGGAGGGGGTGGACAGTGTTTGGGGATGGAACCCAGAGGCACAGCATTTGCTTGGCATGTACAAGGCCCCATTCTGTCACCCGGTGTCAGAAGGACTGTGAGCAGCAGGCTAGACCTGCAAGCAACCAGCACACTGAGTGATTTAAGGGCTGGTTTGGAAAAACAGAGACCACTGACCTAACCCTTTTGACAGCTGACCTCTGCTTCCGGCCCTTCTAAAACTATGGACCACACCCTTTCTCCCCACTTCTCAGAACCAGTTCAAGGGATTCCCCGGGCAGGTGGGAGACTTCCAGCTCAATGAGAAACAGAGAATGGACGGCAGGAAAACCAACTTAAACAAACTCATTTTAATCAGCAGCACAACAAAGAGGAAGAAGTTGGGAGGGTGACTCTGTCTACAGATGCTTTAGGGAACTGGCTCTCCCTGTTCCTGGTAAGATCTCAGACAGCCAGCTCTAGGCAACACCTGACACTCACCAGGGGCGCTTTAACCCTCTCTCAGCCGGTGTATCTGGAGCCACTTTTCCACACCAGCCCTGGGCTGGGCACATGCTAGGAAAGCAAGATGTCCCGGCATTCTTGGAGCTGCCTGCCCAATAACAGGGAAAGGAAGTACATTTGCAAAAAAGAGAGAGAAATAGGATATGTATTTAAATATAAATTCTGGAAATCTAGATACCCCGAGCCCTTGCTTCATTATGCACTTGCTTAATGTCTGTCCACACCCTGCAAACCAGGGCTGGGAATGGCGTAGAATGTAAGGGGACACCAGGAAAGCTCCATAGTCGAGATAAATAATATTTTAATGCAATCACTCAATACCAAAATTATTGATAAAATGAACACACTATTAGCATTGTAGACAAGGTCATGGTTAGAACCTATGCTATCATCCTGGCCCTTCATCTTTTGCACACTCAACCCTGCCCTGGTGCCAATAAACTTTATCCTTACAAGTGGCCTATGGACTATAGTTAGTGGGTTTGATTTTAAAAAAAAAATATTGCATTAAGTTACAATTCATTTTATCACTGTGCTTCTCAGAGGCAACTGACCACCTTAAGTGGTTCACCCTTGTCCTGGTGACTTGCTGTCTTGGGTGGCTCATCTTGTTCTGGTCTTGCCTTCACATCTCCTTATAGAGTGGCCAGGTAAGACACGATGCACAATTAGATTCGAAGTTCAGATGAATTTCAGTCTATTATGGCATAAACTTAACATAAGGAGATTATCCATGGATATCTTCTGAAGTTCACATACAATGGAATATCTTGAGTTCCATTTGCTGAGCCCAGAAGCCCTGTTTGAGAAGTATCAAGGCCGTGTTCCTGTCCATGGCAACATACCCCACCATGGACACATACCCCACCCAGGCAACATACTCCACCATGGACACATACCCCACCCAGGCAACATACTCCACCATGGACACATACCCCACCATGGACACATACCCCCCCACCCAGGCAACATACCCCACCATGGACACATACCCCCCCACCCAGGCAACATACCCCACCATGGACACATACACTTTGCCCACAAAAAGCAGCACTCCTTGCCATCTGCACAAAGTTTCTACAAACAGTTTGTCCCTCAGTCATTCTGCAACCTCTTGCCTTGTGGCTTCCATAACTGGGCCTGACCTTGGCTGCCTGACCCTCCTCAGCCTCTGTAGGTCAGGTCAAATGCAGCTGATTTCCCATTGGCATGAAGGTCCAATAAGCCTGACAGCTGTAGGGCCTTGGGCTTCTTGTGCCTCCCCCAGCAAGTCCACACTCAACCAGAGTCCTTTTCCCTCCCCTGGGCTGTCAGCACCTGTCTGGGAGGAAGAATTCTTGTCCATGGGACTTGAATCAGGAAAGTAATGGATTAGGCTCCTGGAGCAGGAAGCCTGGCTATCAAAGGATCAATGGTGAGCCAACAATGGAAGGGTGTTCCTATCCCTGAGGGATGTAGAACAAGTGGGCTGGTACAAACTGACTTCAGGACAGGAGGACCCAGGAAGAAGAGGACAGAACCAATGACAACATTCAAAAGGCTCCCGGCAGGTGAGGCCAAAGAAAGGACAGTGAGGTGGTGTCAGCTCATCTGGACTTAGAATCACCTAGGAGACACACCTTTCACTGTGCCTTAGGACATTTCTAGAGAGGCTTACCTGAGAAGGGAAGACCCTGGACATAGGCAGCACCATCCCACCAGCTGAATAAGATGGAAAAGGAGCACAGAGCACCAGCCTCCCTCTTTCCCTGCTGCCTGACTTCCTGGTTTGCCCAGTTTTGCTACTGGTCTGATGTACAGCCTGGTCGCCACCTCCCCACCAGACCATGGCTTCCTATCCTGAGGAACACCTCCCAGAAGGCTTTGCCTCAGTGATGCTGGTCTCTTACTGAGTGGATTCATCACCCTCAGCTGACCAGAAGCTACAAACTCAATTCAAAACACCTCAGACCACCCTCATAGAGTCTTCCCTCTAAATGTTCACAAGCCAGGCCTCCATCAACCGCATTTCCCTCAACACTCCAATTGTCTGGTAACACCCATCAAGCTTTGAACCCTCGGAGGCTTTTCCAGCCTGAGGTTCCAAACACTTCTACAATCCTCCCCCACAAAAACATGGTCAGGTCTGTCACGGCAGTAGCCCACTCTCCAGTACCAATTTCTGTCCTGATTTGCTTTTTTATTCTGCCATGATAGACATCATGACCGAAAACAAGTTGGGGAGGAAAGGGTTTGTTTGGCTCACACTTCCACATCAGTCCATCACTGAGCGAAGTCAGGGTATGAACTCAAGCAGGAGGTGACAGAGGAGTGCGGCTTACTGGCTTGCTCCTCATGGCTCGCTCAGCCTGCTTTCTTATACAACCCAGGACCACCTGCCTAGGGATGGCACCACCCACGGTGGGCTGGGCCCTTCCACATCAACCGTGAATCAAGAAAATTGCCTATGGGACAGTATGATGGGGGAACAGTCCTCAGTTAAGAGTTTCTCTTCCCGGAGATTTCTTGGTTTGTGTCAAGTTGACAAAAACCAACCGGCATGCTGACAAGAACAGTGACCAGCCACCTCATGAGTCACCTCATGGTCCTGCAGCTCCACTAGAACCCCTCTCTCTCACCACCGTGCCTTCCTCACCTTGATGGACTGCGCTCTCAAGCCATGGGCCCACAGGGCACCTCACCCCTTAAATCACCAGGCATGTGGCCACCGCAGCGAGGACAGAAACCAACATTCCAACTTCTGTCAACCCCAGGCAGAACTGAGATAGAGAAAGGGAGGCGAGACTTGACAGAGGAAGAAAAGAGAAACAGGGAGTAGAGGGATCTGGGGGACAACACGGGGTCACCCCCTGTCCAAGGAGAGTGGTATGCCCCAGGTGAGCAGCAAATGCATACTAGCCACTCCATCTATCCTGCCCAGGGCTAGTTTGCCAAGGGCGAACCTCCCAGAATTTCCTCAGATGCTTGTCAAACACTTCCAATTCTTGGTCATCACCTCAGACTTGCTCTCTCAGAATGTTGGCCATGGTCCCCAGGACTTGACACTTCAAAGCTTCCTGTGGGGTTCCGGTGCACCCTACACCCAGAAGGAGGCCATGCACCATGAGGGGCAAGGAGATACTAACTGGACCCTATTTAATAAGTGACTTCTCTTCATGGAAAGCTACATTCACTTGAATTTAGGGCAAGGCCCCAGAGATCAGTGGACATTCTGGGACATATACCTGGCAGGGGAGCCAGTAGGGTGACCATGGCAGGAAGGGCCGTGGGCATTACACAGACTCATTTATACAGAGCTTGACAACCCAGGAGAGACTTCACATCAAAATGGGCATAGTGAGCAGGAGGAGGATCCCGGGCTCATCAACCTCCTTCTCAGGAGTCCCCAGTTGCAGAGCTGGGGCAATGGACCCTGCCTTAGATCTCACTCTCTTCCAAAATCTCCTCCATGGTATTGGCCAGGGTGAAGTCCCCCTCACTGCTCTCGGACAGGCTGCTTCCCCGGGGCCAAGCTCCCCGGCCCCGGTGAGACCTAGCTCCCAGCTCCCCCCGGGTCTCAGAGGCCAAGTGGGAACTGCAGGTTGAGGACTGCAGCTTCCGAAGTGTCTCAGCACCATCTCCCTCTGACAGCTTCTTGGAACATTTCCCCAGGAACCGGAAGTTCTGCCCCAGGACACAGGCTCTGCAGCCCCAGTGGCGAGCTAGCAAGAAGCGGCCCCAGGACTTGCGCAGCTCAGCCTTCACCTGCCAGGGGAGACAAAGCGGGGGGGGGGGGGGGGGGGGGGGTGTCACTGGAGTCATTGGAGTCATCTTGGAGTCATTGATCCCCTGTCCACTCAGCAGGTATTTATTAAGTGGCTACTGGGAGCTACCTTGGGGCTATCTTTAGCTTTTACAGGTGGAGCAGAACAAAGACAAGAAAGACATGTGAGCGCAGATGCTGAAGATACTATGAGACAGGAGCAGTAGGGAATGTGGTGAAGGCTGTTAAGTGAATGCTATAGGAGGTCATGCTCCGGTTTTAAGTTCCTGTGCTGAAAATCAAAATGGAGTCAGCCATGCTAAGTTTCTATTCCACCAAAATAAACTGAGAGTTACCAGCCGAATTTCCCCAAAAGGCCAGTTTCATCTGGTATGGTAACGAAGGTCCCTCTACCTTAACCCATCTACAAAAAGGCTGTCTGCAGTAATCTCATGGCACTTCTCTACATGAATGCCCATGCCTGCCTGTGCTGGATAGTTTCACGTCAACTTGACATAAGCTAAAGTCATCTGGAACCTCAATTAAGAAAATGCCTCCATAAGATCAGGCTGTATGGCAGCCTGTAGGGCATTTTCTTAATTAATGATTGATGGGGAAGGGCCTAGAAACCACTGTAGGTGGTTCCATCCCTGAGCTGGTGGTCCTGGGGCCTGTAAGAAAGCAGGCTGAGCGAGCCATGAGGAGAAAGCCAGTAAGCAGCACCCCTTCATGGCCTCTGCATCAGCTCCTGCCTCCGGGTTCCTGCCCTGTTCGAGTTCCTGTCCTGATTTTCTTTGGTGCCGTAGAAGTGTAAAGCCAAACAAATCACTTCCTCCCCAACTTGCTTTTTGGTCACAAATCACTTCCTCCCCAACTTGCTTTTTGGTCACGGTGTTTCATCGCAGCAACAGAAACCCTGACTAAGACACTATCTTACAAGAAAAATCACTTTGAATCATTTTGTTCTTAATTTCTGCTTCCCTCATTCTTTTTCTATCTTTAAAACAACCCCTTCTGCCCTACTTATTGGAACTGTTATTTTATTTCATGGAATGGAACATTGCCTGGCCCTAGACTTCATAGAGCCAGGTTAAAATCGTCCACCATTGTTTCCCTTTCTGCCTTTTGATGGGACACTGGAAGATCGAGACACGGTGTTCAGGTGGCAGCTTTGCAGAACGGCATTTCAGCTGGAACCTTCCTGACGGGCAAGAAGCTCCCGTGTGGAGACACAGAAACAGCAGCAAGCCAAGGAGAAGTGGGGTTTGCTGCTGAGATGGTTGCATTCTATTGGAGGAGACAGCCCCCGGAGTGGAGGGTGGGAAGGATGAAAGGGGCTCGAAACTACTGACTCATGAAAACACCATCCTGGCCTAGTTTGGATAAGGCTCTTGCATTGAAGGCTTAGTCTCCAGCCCTTGCCCCTCTTGGGAGATGGTAGAACCTTTAAGATGTAAGGCCTAATGGAAGGAAGTCAGGTCACTGGAGAGGGGCTTTTCCTGGAGGGGATACTAGAATCTGAGCGCTCTCTCTCTCTCTCTCTCTCTCTCTCTCTCTCTCTCTCTCTCTCTCTCTCTCTCTCTCCCTCCTTCTCTCCTTCCCTCCCTCATTCATAAGGTGAGCATTTCATTCCACCATGTAGTCCCGTCATTATGAATGGTCTCACCACAGGCCTAAAGGCAAGGCAGTCAGGCAAGCAACCATTGACTGAAATCTCTGAATCCATGAGCCAAATAAACCCTTCCTTCTTTGTAGGTTGATTATCTTGGGTGTTTGTTACAGTAACGGAAAGCCGACTAGCACACAGAGGAAACAGAACATAATAAAAGTAAGAAGAGCATCGCTCCCAGGCACTCGGTGTTGACTTTGTGCCGAGCATGCCCAGGGCACCACTGTGAACAGAACCAGCTGTTCATATTTTACACATGAGAAAATCGAAGCCAAATGACTAAGCCACAAAGCTTCTAAGTGGTCAGCCAAGTGTTTGGGTGCAGATTTTTAGACCCTAAAGTCCAAGCTTGCCTCTTCCATCACATTTTAACCCTTTCTTGTCTCCAACAGACCGAGGGCTGTGTTCTGAGCTTCTCGTACCATTCCATGAGTCTAATCTGCCTCCTATTCCCTCTAATGGAATCTCACGACAAAAGTTTGTGCCAATACATACTAGTGACAGTTATACAAGTCACACAAATGGAAACCCCTGGGGAGCCTAGAATGACAACCTCCACCTCACCAGAAGCTGGGATGGCAGTGTAGAAAACATACCTCTCCATTGGCAAAGCCATACTGCAAGGCCACCAGAAATCCCTGGAACAAAAGGAAAATGTAGTGTGAACTCCTGCCTGGTAGAAGATGTGTCTGAGAGTCACCAGCAATGACCTAGGATCCCTGCCCCCGAAGTGGCATTCTAATGTGGTGCTTACACAGAATGGAGTCAGCATGCTGGCTGGTGTCTCTTCTTACCCTGACACCTGCTTTGTACATCGGTAGCCTCCTGGGTGCTTGTGGGGACCCTTAAGTCCGTGATAATTGGCCTCCTGAGACCCTGGGTCATTCAATGATACAAACACAGGCAAGGCCACAATCCTATTTCTACTTTTTCATGGTAGTTATTGACTAATTCATTTTTTTCTTCCTCCTCTCTTTCTTCGGCATGGGGGTCCACTGTGTAACCCCGGCTGACCTTGAACTCACAGAGATCTGTTTGCTTCTGCCTCCCAAGTGCTGCCAGCTTGCATTCTTTCCCTCAGCCTCATTCCCTGAGCTTATGGCATAGTTGTCAACCATGACGTTCTCATGTTTTAGGACGGCCATCACCACATAAATTGTCCCAAGCAGGCTCTGTGACACCAGCAAGGCCGATTAGAGCTCTTTCCACCGCAAAGGAGAGGAGGTTGTCTTCTCTCCCCTGTGTCTGTCAGAATAATTATAATTACAGACAGTGTAAGCTCAGAGATACTGCTGGCATCTCCCCATAACATGGAGAGAGAGCCTTCCTGGGCATGAAGCCAACACCAGAGACCAGTGATGGTGAGTGACAGATTGCTCGTGGATTGCTTGTGGACCTGCATCTAGTTATGCCTGGTCCTGAAATTTTCATTTATGTGACTTAATAAACACCCTTATATTCTTGTCAAACTATTTCCTTTGAAATGATAGATTATTTTCCTCCAGTGGTTTCTAATCTCACTTAGCACAAAATAAACTCCCTAAGCGTGGAAGGTCTGAGGTGATCTGGGCTCCCGGCCTCTGTGGTGCTGGCCTCATCTCACGCCTCATTTTCTCTCAGTCACTATAGTCCAGCCAGCTTGGTGACCCTGAGCCAGAATGTCCAGTGAAAGACTGCCAGAGCCTCATGCAAAGGGCATTCAAAGGGCATGGCATATGATGACAAATCCATATTGTTTTGGTCACCAAACTATACACAACAGACACTTAACATAAGGCTTTGAAATGCTGAAACTTATGTGGCTTGTGAGCTTGATCTGGTGGCTCTGGCTGCACTGTTGTAGATTATACCTTCAAATCATTATTTTTTTTAAAGATTTTTCTAAGTGTATGTGTGTGTGTGTGTGTGTGTGTGTGTGTGTGTGTGTGTGTGTGTGTGTGTGTGTGTGTGTGCATTTGAACAGGTATTCAGGTACCTGCAAAAGCCAGAAGAAGGTGCTGGATTCCCTAGAGCTGGAGTTACAGGCTGTTTTGAGTCACGTGAGGTGAGCGTTGAGAACCAAACTCAAGTCCTCTGCAAGGACAGCGAGCACTCTTAACTGCTGAGCCATCTCTTTAGCTCCCACGCTGTTATTTTAAAAATTGGTCCACTCCTCCGAAATTTCCTGATTTCACAGTAAAACATAACCGTAGCCTTAGAAACAAAGACTTCCTCTTCATGTAACAATGATTATTTATCAATTAACATTCAAATGGTCTTGCAGAATATGTCCCAGGCAGAGGTGTTTGTGTTTAGAATCTCCGCTTATATTCAGATTCACTTAGCTTGAAGGTGGTGGGTCTCAGTTCCCTGTCCTTAGAGTTGTTTGGGTGACCTGACTCGGTCAGAGAGAGCGAATCAGGCAGAAGCTGCAACCCTTTCAGTGAATGGCCTAGTCTCTGACGTCATACATACACCATCACTCTACAAATCCTAATCGCCACCAGGGTCAGTGTCATCCAGTATGGCTGGGGCCGAAACAAGGGTGTGGATGTCACTCAGATATACCACAGCTCACTTATTCCTCAAACCCCTTCACACTTCCTGTGTCCTGGGATGTTCTTTCCACTAATTTCTACCTAATTTGGCTTCTTCAAATTCAGATGTCAGCTCAAAATCACCACACATGCAATTGAAACAGGGCTTGCTGTGGGTCACAGGAAAAGTAATAAACCACCTCTGAGGATGCGGTATAAGAAGAGCTGGCTTTGGGTGTGCCAGAATCATCACGAAGGCTAAAATAGGATTCCCATGACAAGTGTGTCTTCACTTCGCCAGTTTCAGAATACTCTGCAGTCTGGCTCCTGCTCCGGATAAAGCAAGTGTGAAGGAGTAGGTCCCACAGAACACATGGCTCTCACTTCACATGTCCCCAACATGTGGCAATTTCTCCAAAGACCTGATGATAGCAGGAGGCTGGTGAAGCATTCTACACAGTAAATCTTTGAAGAGTGAAGGGGCCTCCAGCAGCAAGGAAAGAAAGCTGTTGAGACGAAGGCCTGCTCCCACTGATTCCTTTCGTAAAGTCACTGAGACGGGCTGAACCAAACGTGCCTCCCTTTGTCTGCCCATCACCACACTCATCTCGGCTCGGTGAGATGGAGGGGAGCAGTTTTGGGTGTGTTGAATGGAGGGAGCTTCTGTCTGTAGCCAAACGCTTTCTGTCTCCATCCTGGTTTAGAACGTGCGACACTGTGAGTCCTCACGTTCCTCAGTAGCACTAGCAGGTGAGTAGAGCTTCCGCTGGTGGCTGGACCATGACCCACCATGGCAGCTCCTTTCCAAAGAAGGCCCCAGTGTTTCTCCTCATTATACAGGCTCAGGCTTCTCCGCGCTTTAAAACCTGAATCTCGTTTTCCCTCCTTTTGAGTCTGAGATGAGCCTGCAACTGTTTACCAGCGTAATGTGATGAAAGCATGGATCTAGTTAGGTTATTTACTTCTAAGACTCTGCCCTCGAAGCATGGACAGTCCCACTTGCTCCTTCACTTAGAACATTTGCTCTTACTGTACGCCAAGAGTCCAGCTGCTATGTGGTGAGATACGCAAGATACGTGGAGAAAAGCGAAGTTCACTGATCAATGGTCCTAGCTGAGCTCCTGGCCCACAGGTCACATCAACATGTAGTCATGTGAATGAGCCACTGAGGATGTTCCAGTCTGATCAAGCCTTCAGATGTTTGCAGGTCCAGCCAAAATTACATGTATCAAAAAGACCATGCCAATGGAGCCTGGACAGTCCAACCCACAGAATCATCAAAAATAACAGTGATAATTGCTGTAAGCCAGAGGTGGCTTATTTTGCAAAAGGCCAGATCATCCTGCAGGCCTAAGGAGTCTGATAAGTGAAGTTTCCTCCTTAAAAATTTGGTCCTATGACCTCCACATGACTGTCTGGCCCTCAACTTGCCTTGGATGTGAGATACCAGTATGCCAAAAGGCCACCAAATACTACTGACCAAACAGCTGGAGGATTTGCTTTTGTTTTGCTTTTCTCTTTTCAGATTACCTTTTACATAAGCTTATAGCCAAGCAACACAGGAAAGTCAAATTACTAACTCTTAGCTTCTGAAATCCCCCAAAAGATTGAAATAAATTAAACGTGCTTCGATGATGGGGGAAAAATGTTACCAATGGATCTGATGTCTCAATTTAAAGCCACAAAGAATTTAGCTCTGATAGGACTGTTAGGGGAGAGAAAAACGCTGTTCAGTTCCTGTGCCCTGTCCCAAGCTCTGTGTTCTGAGTCACTGGTGAGAATGAAGGGAGCGAGCATGTTTTCTCTATTCTCTGCACAGGATCTCAGCACCTGACCCTTCCTGATGGCAGAGGCCTGAAGAGTGGTAGAGGAACTTGGTATCTCCTGGTTACAGTCTTACAGGATGCTCACTTATATGACATAGTGGGTGTGTCTATCTCACAACTCTAGCTCCCAAAATGAATGCTGGTTGTTGTATGTTTCTTCTGCAAGAAGGGTAGATCAGACGAGGTATCACTCTGTACCCCAGGCTGGCTTGGAATTCACTAGGTAGAGCAGGCTGGCCCCAAACTCATAACACTCCTACTCCTTCAGCCTCCTGAATGCTGAGATTGCCAGCGTGTGCCACGGTCCTCAGAATGGTTTTAGATACGTTATCATTTGCCCCCTTCACCCCTGAGTGGCCTGACTTTTGGTTTAGTAACTTCCTTAGTTCCACGGCGTCTGTGTCCCTGTACATGCAGCCACTGGCATCTACGCTCATTTTTTAAAGTTTAAAATTTAGGTGTTACTTTAGTGGCCTTGGCTCCTGAGCTGTGCCTCTCGGCATCCATGCCCGTCTTCAATCTCATCCTCCTTCAGTCTAGGCCAGGACAGTGGCTTGCTTTAAACCGCAGAATGCAGTGGAATCATCAAGATGTCAGCTCCAGGCCTAGGCACTTAAAATGCCCAGCAGCCCCTGTTCCCAGTGCTCTTGGGAGACCTGAGCTATCACATTCAAAAGCCCTCACCCTGTGGAGAAACCACAAGAAGAGAACATGTGGAAGTCACAAGACCCCCAGACCAAATGGAAGGAAGGAACCACGGTTGATAGTAAAAAAGGCAGCCCCAGGAATTCAGCCTAAAAGAAGCCAGCTCAGGCTATTGCAGATGTGTAAAGAAGCCACAGGGTCCCAGCAGGCTTCACCAGGTCAGAGCTTAGCCATCCTTCCCACGTCCTCTCTGGATGCCTAACTCCCAAAGTCATGAGAAAGAATAAAATTGAGGGCCATGCTAAGCTGTCAGTTCATAGGTAGTTAGCAGTGGTTAATCAAAACATCCAGGTAACCAGAGCTGAACTCCTGTTTCTAGTTCTGCTGCACACACATCTGTCTGGATTGAGAGCCTCCTGATCTAGACTCCCTACTCCCTACCCCAGTGGTATGGTGTGCTGTGTATATGTCACAGGATGCTGGAAAAGGTTCGATTTGTACAATGTTCTTCAGATAACACAGTAAAAAATAGGCCCTTAATAAAAGGCTTCATGTTGACACTCACAGTTAATATGATCATGAGTCACACCAGGAGACAACCCAGGAACAAGTCTGGTTAGCCCCTTTGAGTCACTGAATCATGCTGGCAGGATCCAGGCAGCACTTCCCCATCTGTACACCCTTCCAATATCACAGATCCTCACTGATAAAGCCTGCCGATGCTAGAAACCTGCATTGGTCCACAGCTCTGCTCAATTCTCTGTTGGGGCCCTGTGTACTTCTCTGAGCCATGGCATCAGTCAGATTACTTACATGGAAGGAGCTCAATGTCAGCTGGATGAAGAGTCGAATAAGTTTTGAAAATCCTTGAACTTGGTCATCAGTGATGAAAGAGAAGAGGACTTCATGAACCCCCAATAAAGGAATGAGGAGCAGCGTTGACTTTGCCAGTCTGCAAACGACACCAAGTAGCAGTCGTAAGGGCCTCGCTGGGACTAGGGAACATTTCCTGCCCTGCTGTGCACATCTGTATTGTAAATCCCCCACTCTCGATGAACAGCTGGTTTATCCTCTGTGATCTTACTCACTCTTGTATCCCTGTACACAGCAAATATTCAGGGAGCATTTACAGAATGAATGAAGAAATCATCCCCCATAGGATATCATGCCAACAGATAGTGATGTGCGTGATGGAGAATCCATTTCTGTGCTAGCAATACACCTCAGATACCACGCAAACTTGACAAGTTTCCTAGCATGTGGCTAGCAGGTCCCCACACTGCTTTCTCTCCACAGAAATCCAGTACTTCCAATGCCAACACCTCAGATGGGAAGAAAATGAGTTGCCTAGGGCCACACAGACAACAAGGGGCAGTTCTCAGCCTCAAAGTGGGTCTTGTGTTGCACCCCAGGCTGCATGCTCCAAGCTGGGCTTTATCACTGCCCTTAGCTGCCCCTCAGTCCTGTGACGGGGAGGGCTGCAGGAAACGGAAAACTGATCCTCCTCGTAAAGTACATGGTGTGGAGGTTGGCGGTTGTTTACAGTACACACACACACACACACACACACACACACACACACACACACACACAAAGGCAAACATTTCTTTGTACCACCCAAGAGCAAAGTGCACAGCTGGGGCCCAAGTGTTCCAAACTGGTGAATCCCAAGCACTGCTGGCTATTAAAATTCCTTCCAAAGCCTTTAAGATACATACAGTGGGTCCTCTGAATGTGTAAGTTCTGCCCTGAGGGGTCCAATCAACTGGAGATTGATTGGTGGAGACTATTCCTTCAATTGTGTCTCTATTGAACATGCACAGATTTGTTTCCTTATCGTTTCTCTCTAGACATTGCAACATTGCAACTATTTACACAGCATTCACACTGCTTTGTGTACTTGACATAATCCAGAGATGGTTTAAAGTATCTGGAAGGGCTGAAGAGATAGAGCAGCAGTTGAGTTGCTTGCTCTTCTTCCAGGGGACCCCAGGTCTGTTCCCTGCATCCCCATCAGGTAGCTCACGACCACCTGCAACTCCAGCCCCAGGGAAACTGATGCCTTCCTCCAGCTTCCATGGGCACCTGCACACACATGACATGCACCCCCATACATGTATATGCATAATACCTAAATAAAATAAACCTTAAACAAAGTATATGGAAGATGTACAGACACTACGCTGTTTATTTAAAGGATGTCAGCGCCTTGGGTAGGTTCTGGAATAGGTCCCCATGTCCATCAAAGGACATATTTCTAGGTCCCAGTGTGGACACACTGAGGCCAATCATGTGGAGGCTGTTCCCTGAGAGTGTGAAGTTTTAGGGGACTCTGAGAAGTAGTGGAGCCTGGGAATGACCTCACTTTACCACTAATCGGTTTCTTGATTTGAAGTTAACAGAATTAGCAAAGGTGACTCATCTTCAGGAAAAAAAAAAAAAACAAAACCTAAACTAGTGTCTAATCTACACTAGAAAAAAACAGAGCTTAATTGTAATGTGTTTTTAACCCAAGAACTTAATGAGCCAGAGTAGGAGGAAGCCCACCTCCAACACACACACACACACACACACACACACACACACACACACACACACACACACACGGTAAAGATGTAGAAAGACAGTATGATCATCAGTCCACATGGCATTCTTTAAAAAGGCTGGACTCTACCCTATGTCTGTGAGATGCCTTGAAATGCATGGCCATCCATTCAGCAAAACATTTTTCTTCTTTACAGTCTTTGCACAGGAGGGACTCCACCTGCTCATGTGGGCTGGATGTCCCCAAAGCCTTGACAGTCAGGGGAACCCACGACTGGGGAGGTGAATGACAGACCCTGGTTATGTGCTTTTCCTGAAGGGAGCTCAGATCTGCTTCTGCCCCCGCACCCACCCACGTGGGAGTCACTTAGGAAAGAATATTTCCAGGGAGAATTTTTCTTTCCCTTTTCCTTTTTTGGTTGCCAAGGATTGAGACCAGAGCTTCACGTGTGCTGAGCACATGACTCTGCCACCAAGTTACATGACCTGCCCCTAAGGGTTATTTTGTTGGTCAGAATGCCCCGGAAAGTTTTTAGACCCCTTTGGCTGGAAGGTCTCAAAAGAAAGAGCACAGGTTGGGAGTTGACCTGAAGAATCTTCTGCTTAGGATGTAGAGTTATTTTTACTATCAGAGCCATCTTTAGTGAGGAGATGTAAGAGAGGATGCTCATGTTTTAATCCCTTGAAAGCTGGAGCAATCTGATGATACAGGCCCCAAGCCCTGCTTGACAATCAGCTATAACTGGTGGTTCTCCCCTTAGGCTCTAACGTTTAGAGGGATCCTGCAATCTCCAGCCTCTACATGGCCTGCACTTCATATGACCCTCTCTGCGCTGACCAGAGTCTCAACTTGGGATGCTTTACTCTCTGTTATCTGGATTAATAACACACATTAATATACTTATGTGCAGGCCCGTGTCTCACCAGCAACTGATTCTTGGGCCGTACTATGGCAATGATGGGTTTTTAGAGTTTTTGTTTTTAAATTTGTGTGTGTGTGCATGTGAGTAAAGGTGCCTGTGAAGGCCAGATGCAGCTGATCCTCCACTTGCAGATGGATGTGAGCCATATGACCTTGGTTCTAGTAACCAAACTCTGGTCCCCTGCAAGTATAATATGCATTCTTAAACACTGAGCCATCTCTCTGGTCCAGCTACGGGTTTTTAAAGCACACTTTAACTTCGGAATGACTTTAGTTCTACAGAATGAAATCTAAGAGGACACAGAGGGCTTCCACATATCCTTCCCTCCATTTCCCTAGTGTTCATTGATGGTGTGGCCATAGTCTATCTGTCAACACCAGGAAGCCAGCCTTGGAACCAGACTAGTAATAAATTCCAGGTGTGGTTAGATTTTACCTGTTTTCTGTTTCCATCCTGTTCACCACCGGGATCCATGCTGCAAGCATCACATATCTAAAGGCATGTCCCTCCCAGCCCTCTGGGTAAGATGCAGGCTGTAACTCCCCACTACTCATGCCCTTCTAACATCTCCTTAGACAAAAGTACAATTTGTGTCCCAGCCCAGATGAAAGCCATAAATAGTCACAGCCGTTGACTATTTAAAAACAGACTGGGTGCATGCTTCTTTTTCATCCATGGATGTTTGTTTATTTAAATGGTACAGTTTGTTGCAGTCGTTTAAGAATTCAACAAATATTTATTAGGTATCTGCTCTGGGTACATGAGTGGGTACAGAAGAGTGGGGAGCTTAAGCCAAGGGCAGTAGGACACAGGGACGGCATATGGGTCAGGGTTCAAATAGCATTGTCACCAACCACTCGGTGTGACCCTGGGCAAATTCTTCAACCTCTTTGTCCATTAGTTTCCTTATTTATAGAAAGAAGATAATACAAATAATAGCATTTATGGGGCAGGGTCCTCGTAAGGATTAGACAGATAATGCAATGCGTGTGTGTGTGTGTGTGTGTGTGTGTGTGTGTGTGTGTGTGTGTGTGTGTGTGTGTGTGTGTTAGTCTGTTTTATCACTGTGACAGACATTTGTGACAAAGTAGGAGAGACTTGTTTGGGGGTCACACTTTCAGAGGCTTAATCCATGCTCACTTGACCACTTTTGGGGGGAGGGGCTATGTGGAGACATCACAACATGGCGGGGAGCACATGATCCGCAGAGCTGCACACCTCGTATCCCCTTCCAGAGACCAATTTCCTTCTACTTAGGCATCTGCCTCCTACATACTCTACAGCTTGTCCCCAGTAGTGCCACAAGCTGGAGGCCAAATCTTCAACCCGTGCCCTCTTAAGGTACACTTACGACCCTGGCATGGCAGGTGTTATAACTCCAACGATTCTTGTCAATTTGACTTCCATTTGTGACGTCACCGGTCAGTTGCTGATGAGGTTCAGACATAACACTCAAATGCGTACTTGGTGGGCTGAGTGGGATACGCTGAAGGGATTTGATAAAACTGCGGACGTGGAAAGATCACTGTGTTTTCACCCTCCTTCTCCTGGATCAAGCAGTGCATGTAACCTAGGAAGGATTTTCTGAGCTTTCCCTGAAGCATGCCCTAAGACCCTCCTTGGAGAGGTGCCCTCCCTCTTCGCGCAGGAAAGGAGCAGCCTTGTTAGTGAAGATGCCAGGCCACAGACAAGCACGTGAACTCACGGGTCTTTGCTACACACACACACACACACACACACACACACACACACACACACACACACCAGTCTATTACTACCAGACCACAGCCCATTTGTCCAGTACTGTCTCTCCAGGACTGTACTTTAGCAAACCTAGCACAAAAATATACAAGTCTGATCACCTCTTTGTGTCCTCATCGCCTTGAGAAGGCACACTCAAAACTTGTAAGTCTGTATGCTTTCTTTTTTTTTCCTGTTGCTCATCTAACCCATACAATTTTCCAACGCCAGCCAAGGTTTCTGTGAGTCTAAGTTAAACATTCCCTCCCTTCTGCTGCCCACCAAAAACTCCTTCCAGAAATGAGAATGGGGTGAGTATGTGAAGAAATCATTTCCCCCATAAATCCATCGTGCACTCAGGCTGCACACACCACATGGAGAATAAAACCATTAATAAAGGGAAAGAGAGCTGCGTCCCTGCTGGGACCCACAGAGAATGGTGAGGTGGAAGGAGCCGAGGGCCTGTTAGCCTCTGAGGAAGTGCCCTTCACCCCGGCCTCAGCTTACCCTACCCAAGTCAGATAGTGGAGTCATTTACCGTTTCCCTTGCCTGAGGGTGGAGGCCTCAGGAAAGCTAAGAAGACAGGGTTATCTCTTGATTCTAGACACTTGCCTCTAAGGTAAGATCTACAAGTGTTTAATTTACACCTTCCTAATATAGACTCCTGGAGAAGGGCCAGTGCTTGAGCGTTCCATTCTGAAGGTTCTCACGTCTCAGAGAGCTGAAGGCAGCCTGGAATCTACGGGGTGACACGCACTGGCACCACGGCCCTCTCTCTACCCTACTGGGGGCTTTCATAGGAAAATTAACATGGAGAGGGCATGGAAGAGGGCAGTGTAAGGGAGGCGGGTGACGATGCCCACTGATGGGACACCACGGCTTCCCAAGAGCAAAATGGGCAAACAAGCTCCCAGAACTCAAGCAGAGTTCTCCAGCTCAGAGAGCATAATGAGAGAGCATGTCTGTGCCTTCAGAGACAAGTCCCACCATCTATAAACTAGTAGGGTCATGCTAACCAACTGGGTTATGCTCTCCATGGGAGAAGAGTGAGTCAGCAGAAAAGGCATGGCCAACCAAAATGGCAGAGAAAAGCACCAAAGGAGCACATTTTCAGATCTTATCCCATCCTACTCTGCGGAAGCTAGCTGGAGAAATGAACCACCTGCCCAAAAGGTAGCTCAGAGGAGGGGTTGGGAGGGGATTATTGAGCAGCCGTCAACACCACGACTCTGCTTTGACAGAGTGCTCACCAAGCACCATTCTGGCGACCTCTGGATTTGTGAGTCTACTTTGAGACCAGAAAACCTTATGAAGCACATGAGGACTTATAGAGGAACACCTTCCCCTTACCTCCACCTTCCACAGATTTCAAAAAATGCACAACAGTCTAGTAGCTAACTCCCCAAGGTGAGGCCTCTCCCCCAGGGAAGTCTTTGGGTAGACGCACGCCAAGGTTCTTCTCAAGCATTTTTCTTGAACAAGAGTGGGAAGAGAAAAGGGCAGATTCCAGACAGATTGCACATGTCAGCCAAAGTTATTCCACCTCCCCCAAAGCATTCATCTTTGATCATTGCCCAGTCACATGGTTTTTCCCAGCGTCTTAACCTACCCTTGCCCAGATCAATGCCACCCAGTGAGGCTGTAAAGGAACACATTCATCATGGTCCAAGAAGGAAGCCCCAGGTGCTAGTCACTAGAGCATCAGATCAGTGGTCCTCTGCTCTGGCTGTCTATCAGAATCTCCTGAGGAAGTCTCTAAGAAGCCCACACAGTAAGACTATCCCACACTTTCTGAGTGAACTACTCAGTGGTGGGGCCCACAAGGCTATGTTTTGAGCCAGCTCTCAGCAGATGCTCACAGCAGCTAAATTGGGCAACTATTAGGAGTCACTGAGGGTCTAGAGCATGGTGAAGGTCCCAGGGAAACATGGTGGACTTTGCCATGGGTACAAAGCCATAGGCGTCAGCCTTTGGGTCTCATGGGACCATGAGATGGGTGCTAGCTGGTTTTATGCCAACTTGACACAAGTCAGAATCATTTGGAAAGGAGGAACCTCAACTGAGAATACACCCCCATCAAATTGGGCAAAGCATCATTTTTGATTGATGATTGATGTGGGAGGGCCCTGCTCACTGTGGGTGGTGCTACTCCCAAGCTGGTGGTTCTGGGTGCTATAACAGAGCTAGCTGAGCAAGTCACTAGGAACCAGCCAGTGAGAAGCCCTCTTCCATGGTCTCTGCATCAGTTCCTGCCTCCAGATTCCTGCCTTGAGTGTCTGCCCTCTGCCCTGACTTTCCAAGATGATGAGCTACAGCTATAAGATGAAATAAACTCTTTCTTTCTTAGTTAGGGTTTATTATTGCTGGGAAGAGACACTATGACCAGTTCTTATAAAGGAAACGTTTGACTGAGGGGCTCCTTTACAGTTTCAGAAGTTCAATCCATCACCGCATGGAGCATGGTGGCATGCAGCAGGCATGATGCTGGAGAAATAGCTGAGTGTCCTACATCTTGTAGGCAATAGGAAATCTACTGACTGTCACAATGAGGGAAGCTTGAGAAAAAGACCTCAAAGCCCACCCGCACCGTGACACACTTCCAGTGGAAGGTGCGGCCGGGATTAAAGGTGTGCCCTCCAGCCTCAAGGTCTGGATTAAAGGCATGTGTCATCCAGTCTCCTCCAACAAGACCCCACTTCCTCCAACAAGGCCACACCTCCTAATAGTGCCACTCCCTAAGAGCTTATGGGGGCCAAATACATTCAAACCACCACACTATCCAAGTTGCTTTGGTCATGGTAGTTTATCACAGTAACGGGATCCATAGCTAGGACAGGACTCAACTTCCCTCTTTCTGTCTCCTAGAAGTCTTTGCGTCTGTGCAGTTTCTGAAGGTGCCCTGGTGGTCAGAGCTCTTGCTTGTCAAGGGGGTGGCACTCTCGAGTGGACTCTGGCAGCTCTGCCTGTTCTTGGGGCTCCACCCTGAGAACAGTGGTGTGAGGAGGCTGAGCCTTGGGACAGGGGCCAAAGAGGCTGCCTGACCACTTGGAGTCTGGACCAGAGGCGCCAGGAGAGATAGCATGACTCCCTGGGGCCCAGACTGGGCCAGTTCCCCAAGGCTAAGGGTTTCTGTCAAATGTTTGGATGAAAGCCCTAAGGAGTGATTATAGCATATATATATATATATATATATGCTCTCTCCTGAACTGGGTAGGGTTACTCTTCTAGATCTGTTAGAGTAAGAGTCTTGGGATGATGGGCTCAGGGTCTGGGTCTAGAGCAAATGCTGCCCTCCATTTCTGATTAATTTGCTGCCCATAAACAATGTCCTTTAGCTATCACAATTCATAGGAGATGGGTCTGCCACAACACTCCCTTTTTAGACACCAGAAAACAGAGCATGGGGCCAAGCTTACTTAGGATCAGTGAGGGAGCTGGGGTGTGTGGCCAGCCCCTTTCCTCCTGTCTGTTCCACATCATTGTCTCAGTCATTGCTAAAGTAGCACGCATGCTCCTAAGGCATGGTGGGGCCACATCATACTCACCTTTTGTCCAAGCACATGGGAAGCACTCAGTGAATATTTGCCTAGCAAATGGAGGAGGATGGATCTACCTTTTTATCACCAAAGTCAGTCTTAGAAATAGTGAAGTAGCATGGCTGGAGCTGTCTCCACTCACACCCCCTGCTGTGGTCTGCTGTGTGGATTAGAACCCCCAACTCGGACCTTTCCTTTAGGTTAAAACACACGTTCCCTTCCAGCCCTGGCAAAGTTTACCTGCCATCTTGAAAGAATAATTAGAAACAGGGGGAGAGGGCCTTGCCTGCCATTCATTCCTCACTCATTCATTTTTACAGCAGCTCAGTGTCCAATAAAAGCCTATCATCTAACTCTTATTATGTAGGAACGCTTGTCACTACACAGAACTAAAGGTGAGATTCCACAGAGGTAAGTCACGAAGAAAAGGGAACTGTGTAATGAATTTCTGTATTTCTGTGGACTCTAAGCATTTCCTGCCTCAGATCCTCCCACATGGAAGACAACACAAACTGCCCTTCAGACCAGGCTTTCCAGCTCTATAAGCCACGTGGTAGTTTGAGTGAGACTGGCCCCCATAGGCTCATCTGTTTGAATACTTGGTCTCCAGCTGGTGGAATGCTTGGGAAAGATTAGGGGGTGTGGCCTTGTTGGAAGAGGTGTGGCCTTGTTGGAAGAGGTGTATCACCAGGGGTGGGCTTTTAGGTTTCCAAAGCCCACGCCATTCCCAGCATCTCTCTTTCTGCCTCGTGCTTATAGATCAAGATGCAAGCACTCAGCTACTGCTACCGTGCCATGCCTGCCTGCTTGCTGCCATGCTTCCTGTCATGATGATCATGAACTTTATCCCTTTGAAATTGTAAGCCCCCAGTAAACTCTTTCTTCTCTAAGTTGTGTTGGTCATGGTGACATACCACAGCAATAGAAAAATAACTAAGACAACCATTTATTTTAACAGGCTCCTAACAGGGGGATTAATGTGTCTTTGACTGCTCACCACTTAAATCACTGCTACAAGGTTAGAAGGGCTGAATCATTGGCAAAAGCCCCATCTGTACCCCAACACCTTCTCCTCTGTCCCCTCACCTGAGGTGACAAATATCTGAACACAATCTGTGTGTTACTCTTTGAATATAAATGTCTTCACCTATTTAAACCCTTAAGCCTCGGCTGGTGGTGCTCTTTTAGGAGCTTGTAGAACCCTTCTGACATGGGGTCTACCTGGCAGACATAGGGACGAAGAGACCGGTAATCAAAGGATATATCTCAGCCTCATCTCTCCCCCAAGTGCTCTGCTTCCCGATCTGCTGAGAAGTGATGAAGACATCCACAAGCTGTCACCACCATGGATGTGAGCTGCTCCCACCACCAGGCCTTCCCAGCCCTGGCGGACTACACTCCCTCACACCGTGAGCCAAAATATGTGTTTCCTCTGGTAAGCTGCTTCCTGCCCAGTATTTGGTCACTGGAATGATAACAGTATGGAACACACTGTTGTGCCCTTCCCATCACATGAGCAACACCAACAAGTCAAGATAACCTTGGATTGCCAAGCACTGGCCTGGGGTCACTCACCTGTATTTATAGTCTCTGAAGCACATCTGATGGGCTTTGAGCTTGGAAATGAGAAGCTTGAGAATTTTGAGGAAGATGAAGAAATTGACCTTGAAAACAACAACAACAAAAAAATACAGGTAAGTAAGGGGTGGATGTCACACGCTGTGGATCTCAGGGTCATCCTGGGTGTGCCCATCAGCTCCTCGTCCATGTGAACCAGGGACAAGTTGGCAGTTAGCTGGTGGCACAGGACGTGTCTACGCTAGTCCCCATTGTCCCAAAGACTCTTAGAACTGAAAGTCTGGGAGGGAACTTGGAGTGTGATTTAGTTCATGCTGTCTCAGGGAGGGCCTCCACTCAGCACTCTGAGAAAGACAAACACGCATCATTATTAATCAATACTTATTGACTACTTACCACCCAATCTTTGGCCTAAGAACCTTCCACACAACTCTCTGAAGTTGTCACAGTTATTTATTTTTGTCCCCATAAAACCGTGAGGAAGCACAGCAGAGAGGGGATGAGCATGATGCTGAAGCGTGCGTACCTAGGCAGTGACTGAGCAGCTGATTGTGACCAGAGCTAACAATGTTGCCTTCCCTTCAACGGAACTGTGTGCTCACTCTTCTCAGTCGAGAACTGTAGGGTAAAAGGTCAGAGCCCACCTCTGGGCTTGAAAACCTACCAAACCCCACCAATCCCTGAGCATGAAAACCCACCAAACCCTGAGTTTGAAAACCCACCAATCCCTGAGCCTGCTCTAGCTCAGGACTTGAAATCTCCTTAGTCCCCACTGTGGTGGTATTGTTTTCCCCAAAATATTGTTTACCCTAATAAACTTACCTGGGGTCAAAGAACAGAACAACCACTAGATACAGAGGCTAGAAAATGGTGGCACTCACACCTTTAATCCTAGCACTCCAGAGGCAGAAATCCCTCTGGATCTCTGTGAGTTCAAGGCCACACTGGAAACAGCCAGGCATGGTGACACATGCCTTTAATCCCAAGAAGTGAGCCTTTAATCCCAGGGAGTGATGGCAGATAGCAGAAAGGTATATAAGGCGTGAAGACCAGGAACTAGAAGCATTTGGCTGGTTAAGCTTTTAGGCTTTTGAGCTACAGTTCAGCTGAGACCCATTCTGAATGAGGACTCAGCGGCTTCCAGTCTGAGAAAACAGGATCAGCTGAGGAACTGGCAAGGTGAAGTAGCTGTGGCTTGTTCTGCTTCTCTGATCTTCCAACATTCACCACAATACCTGGCTCCAGGTTTGATCTTATTAATAAGACCATTTAAGATTCCTGCTACACCCCACCCTGGAAAACTCCTCCCCCAAGAAACCCTGTATAAGCCTGTCTCCTGCTCAGATCCCCGCTGCTTCTCTCCCAGCAGAGGCAACCATCCTCTTGTTTTTCCCAATAAATCTCTTGCACGGGGTTTGTTGTGTGGTGTGACCTTGTGGTATTCCTTGGCTCTTGACGGCCAGCATACCTTTCCCTTCAGAGTCGTAACACTTACAAGAACTATGGCCTCCTTGGTGTCTAACTCGAGGTCTGCAGTGGGACTCACTGGAGAGTGTATGTCTTCCACTCTGGGGTATTTCCTGTAACTAGACCAAGCAAATCTAGACCTTCACTGCCAGCTTTGACAGAAACTATAAAATATGTCTGAAATTCCTTCTAGTTCTTTTAAAAAGGAAACCCTGGTCTCCATTCCTGACTCTCACCCTGTGTGTGCTCATATTCTCTCTCTCTCTCTCTCTCTCTCTCTCTCTCTCTCTCTCTCTCTCTCTCCCCCCTCTCCCTCCCTTCCCCTCCCTCTCCCTCCCTCTCCCTCCCTTTCCCTCTTTTCCTCTCCCTTCACCTCTGTCTGGATTGCTCAGTCTAGGGGAAGCCAACCACCACACTGTGGGAAGAGTCCCACAAGGGAGAACCAAGTCTCCCAGCCAATAGCCCGCAGTGCTCCACAGCCACATGTGTGAGCCTTGGGAGATGATCCTCCAGGCCCTGTCAAGCCTTCATATGGCCTCATTTCTGGCTGATATTTTGACTCAGGAGAGATCATGGGTCTGCTGGACTGGAGAAAATCAAGTGGTTGAGTGTAGGCTAAGTGTGAACATGGATACTGAGGGCCAAGTTTGTGAGGAGACTGGAGAGGCAGGGCTGACCAGTGAAGCTTTTTCACGGTCATGCTGAAGGCCCTGGGTTTTCTTATGAAGGTGGAGAACCAGGGATACATTTTTAACAAGCATATGACTTGATCAGATCAGAACATTTATTTTTCAGGAAGACAATGTTTAACAGCAGTGAGGGGGAATGATTAAATGAGGGTAAGTCTTGAGGAAGGAGAGCAGCTGTGAGGCAGTTTCCAAGTTCCTGGGGAAGATGATGGACAGGCGAACTCAGGCCTGGAGTTTCAGTGATAACGGAGCCTTTGAAACTACAAAGTGTGCATTAAATGACCTTCGTTACTGGTTGGATGTGAGACCAAAGATGACCTGACAGTTCACGGTAGCCCTCTACTGTGTGGTAGTGCCACTCACCCTGAGAGGGACCACATGTGGAGGAAGAGCTTTGGTGATGCTGGAAGAAGGGTGTATCTGAAAGCTTCAAACCTAAGAGATGCCTAAGGCAGACGGATGTTCCTGTCCAGACCTCAGCCGAGCAGGAAGCCATTGGAGGGCAGGTTTTGGGGGCAGATGTTTTCTAAGATAGAAAAGGTTCAGTAAGACTCCTGTGCATGGGAGAAGAGCTGACAGAAAGGGCAATCAGGTGACAAGTCACGGACTAAAATCTCCACAACCGTTGATCTAGCACACTAAAAAATATCCATATACAGAAGGAAAAACCCTACAGACTGAAACACATGCTACAAAATTATATATATATCTTTTATGTGCTCCCCTGGACTCAATGCTCAGTGCTAAAAAGCTAGAGATTCTAAAACATAAACCAACAGGAACGAAGGCAGATCCTAGCCAAAGGATATTTAGCACCAGAAAATTTTAAAAATTCAAATGAAACATAACCAAGTAATTTTGTCCCTTTTAATGGGGCATCTGCTTTTCATCACAATGAGAAAACACTGTGTGCTTGCCTTAGTAACCTGTAGAACACTGGCCCTTTTCTGACAAAGTAAGCTTAATGAGGAAGCTGGATCTTTGAGGCAATGGACTGCAGCTGGACCGTCTCCTAGGAAATGAAGGACCTGTGGATCTGCTCCTCCTTGTGTCTCCCAGAGACCAGACAAGAGAAAAGGAGCATCAACCTGTAGCCACAGGAAGGAAGCACCTCCCCACAACCCTAGTGGATCGTCATCCCCGGTTACCATGGAGCCTGGGCTCCTCCAGGTTTCCAGAGGTCTAGAGTCGGCAGCCACATTTGCATGGTGGGTTCTTCATTTGTGCACCATCAGAGAAGGTGATAAATGAGGAACGTTTTCAAGAATGAAGCTAACTCCCCTAGGAATTTGTGACCAGATAAGGAACACTCCCCCTAGGAATTTGTGAATAGACAGGGAATACTTGGAACCTCAAACATATAAAACTCTCTTCCAGGGCTTAGAAACTACAGTTGCTTTTGCAGATGTTACCTTCTTGGTAACATGTGTTCGGCACCCTAGCATCTGTATACAGATGTGGGCCTGCAGGTTAGCAGTGGTAATTTCTAACACGGCAGGTGCTCTGGGGCAGACTTTACATACTAGCAATCTCTTCTACCTGCCAAGTCCTGGCTCTTTTGGCCTGCTACATGGACGAAAATGATTATACTTCTAAGGCTCCTCCTTCAGGCCAAAACATACCTTCCCCAGGGATCCTGCTGAAATGCATGTGCTCTGTAGAAGGTAAGGAATGGCTGAGAGAGCACAGGGAAAGGTCTCCTTCCTTTCATCCAAACACATTCACTTGCCACAGCACTGAAGCCTCCAGCATATGCCTATTGCAGTGGTTTGAGTGAGAAATGCCCACCCTTCACACTTTGTCCCCGGATGATGGCACTGTTTGGGAAAGTTATGGAATTTTTAGGATGTGGAGCCTTGCTACAGGAAGTACGTAACTAGGGCCAAGCCTTGAGGGTTCACCCGCCTTCCCATTGTTTCTCTCTGCTTTCCCAGCAGGGATGAAAATGTGGTCAGATAGCTTCATTTTCCTGCTGCCAGGCTTTCCCTGCCCATTGCTGTATCCCTGCCATGATGGACTCTTGTATTGTATCACAGCGATAGAAAATACACCTATGATCTGCTTTACTTTCACCGTGAAAAGCAGAAGCGGGGATGCCATGAAGGTAAACAAAGCCAGACAGGATTTAGCCACAAGGAGCTCCCTAACAGTGCTGTGGTGCAGTGAGGAGACCAAGAGCCGGATTGTGGTGCATTGTGAGGCTTGTTGGTGAAGGAAGCGGAGGGTTAGAACAGGAGTGGACAAAGGATGCACAAAAGCGACAGTATCACTCCACTTTTCCTTGTAGGACTGGAAGAGGGTTTTAGTGGCAGACAATGGGACAAGGCAAGTAGGGAGAATCCTACTTCAACTCTTCAGTAGATAAGATGTTGGGCAAAGCAGCTGGGATCCAGGGTGTCTGAGATTATGAGCTAATGTCTGAAAGAGCCATAAGTATCATGGGCACAAGCCTGGATGAAATGTGTTTTGAGAAGCAGTAAGTAGAATTGTTACTCAGTCATCCAACTTAACTTAGTCTATGAATTTATTGAGGCAAATAACTCCTCAGCTTTTCAGTGTCCTTACCAAAACATAAACAAAATAGCATTTCAACTTTGCAGGCTCATTGAGAAGATTAATTGAGTTCATATACTCAAAGCACTTAAGAGTTGGCATTGGTTGGAGGTACTCAGTAAATGTTATCAGGCAGTGGTCCTGGTGCCTGGGCAAGGAGGTGGGTGCTGGGACCCCCATGGGGCAGTGTGACCAGAGAGAACAGAACAGTAGAAAACTGAATGATTGGAGAGGTGAGGACTCAGGGTCCTGTAAGTAAGACATGTGTGGTCAACTTCTACTTGAACATTCTCTCCCAGCCAAGTGTCCAATGACAGAGGGGAGATAGCCAATAGTAGGTATACCACTTGCAATTAGGGGGCCCCCATATCCTTAGTGTTCCTACCATTTGTATTCACATTTTTCCCTCTAGGTTACAGCTAGGTTCAAGCAAGGAATTTCCTTGAGTTGTTGACAAACACTAATAATCTTCTACAAAACTTTTTTTTGTTTTGTTTTGTTTTTACTTTCAAGACCCTATCTACATAAAAGAGCTAAAATAGAGCACCCAGCTGCCCCTTGGCAATGACATGGAGCTCAGTGCTAGATATCTAGTGGTCACTCAGCCTTGGGCAGGAAGATCTTCTACCCAGTCCTCAGTGGAACTGTCAGTCCTCTGTTGTTAACCCCATGCACCTCCTCCAGCTTCTTTAACAAAATTCATCCTCACACATCATTGTCTAAATCCCAGTTCCTAAACTGTGGGTCACACCACTGAATAGAGAAAGTCACAAGCATTATCCCTAGCAAAAGGTTTCAAAACACACAGCAACCAAAAACTTAGTTCAAAATTAAATGCATGCGTCCAATGTGTTTCTGGCAGCATTTGCCCGTGTTACACAGTGGAACTTGATTCAACATTGGCTCTGAAGACATAACATGCACACTTTCACTGCACATGCCAGTGAACGCTACCTGAGACACCTCAGCTTAGGTTCAAGACTTGTGTTTTACGAACTGTGTTTTTCACTCTATGTACAAAGCTTTCTTCTCTTAAAGAAACATAACAATTTAATTAAAGAAAAGAGAAAGACTTCACATTTCTCTACCATCATTCTATAGCATTGTAAGTATTCAGTCCATTTGTCTTTGGATTGAATAGTTAGAATGTTTGATTTTTTTTTAAAAAAAAAAAAATGCTGTTTGAGAGGATGGAGAGATGACTCAGCAGTTAAAAGTGTTTGCTGCTCTTCCAGAGGACCCAGGTTCAATTCCCAGCACCCACCCACGTCAGGTGGCTCAACTGCCTGTAACTCCAGCTCCAGGGCCTCTGATACCCTCCTCTAGCTCCAAGGATACTTACACTTACACTTACACTTACACACACACACACACACACATACACACACACACACACACACTAATTAAAATCTTAAAAAAATAAACCTTTCCAAAAATTGCTGTTTGAGTTGCTAATTTCAGATTTGTTTTTAAAATTGCTACATGAATTTCAGCTTGGTGTTGGGAAGAATTTTCAACAATTTCTAAAATGGCCCTAAACATACTTCTGCCATTTTGAACTACATATTTATATAAGGCGACATTCTCAATATTAACAATTATAAAAATCAAAATGTCTAGCAACTCTGAAAAGCATTGAAAATGCAGTATCAAATATTGAGCCAAGATTTAATTCTTTATGTGAAAATAAATGAGCAGGTTGATCTCACTTGCTTTTGTCAAATGGTCAAATCATGTGTATGCCAAGGAATTCTTTTAAAGCAGATTTCTTTTTAATTCACTGTCTGCAGATGTTTGGGTTGTAGCCATATTGTATATGTCCATACAGTTGGGATCCCAAAAAGCTTTGGAAAAAAGAGGTCACAAGTGGAAAAGTATGGTGATATTTTATTTGTACTGAAATGTGATTTTATTTGTATGTTAATAAATAAAGTTGCCTGGGGGTCAGAGCTAATAGCAAGCCATAGCAGAAGCTGGGTGGTGGTGGTGCACGCCTTTAATCCCAGCACTTGGGAGGCAGAGCTAGGCAGATCTCTGTGTGTTCAAGGATACAGCAGCATGGAGACACACACCTTTAATCTCAATACCAACCATAGAAGACTTGGAGGTCTGTATAGATGGGCAGTGACGAGGAGGTCATGTGGTTGAGTTTACAACCAATGAGAGGGCAGAATAGAAAGTCAATAAAAAAGGACAAACACACAGGATGTAGGTCTCTTGTGGAGGAGGACAGCAGCGGCAGTGAAGGGTAAGGTTTTTAGTGCTTAGCTTTTGCTCTGACCTCTTGGGCTTTTTAACTTTGCAATTGGCTCTGTGTTTCTTATTTAACAAGACAGTTACATCTACAGAAAGGCTTAAGAAGCACATTTGAAATGGCTATCTATGTCCATCTAGGCCAGTCATCTCTTTCCCCCGAAAGTATTCTGCACCACGACAAAACTAATTCCGTCCTTCTCCAGGTGTCTATTATTAATAGAGTAATATCTATTCTATTAGCCATGATTATTTTGTATTAACACTGATTGTACATGTTTCTCCTCTGAAAATAGTTCCTTTGGTTTCCTTCTCCCACTTGCTAATGGGCATTAAGATAAAAGCTGAGCAGGGCATGGTGGCACATATCTGTAATCCCAACGATGGGCAGACCGAGGCAAGAGGGCTACCATGAGTTGGAGATCTGTCTCCTCTATGTAGCAAGATCCTGTCTCAAGCAAACAATCAAAAGACACACAGTGAGAGTTCCATGGTTTCTGGAGTCTCACAAGACCACAGACAGTCCTTTTCCCTGTCACAGCCCTTCAGTCCCGGATGGAAGAGCTGACTTCAAGTCCCCATTTAAAGATCCAGAGAGATGGAGGCTTACAGTGTTACCCCAAATTTAGGTCCTGAACTAGAAGAAGTTTCTAATTTCTCACCCAGCAGAAACTGCTCACATTTCATATGCATGGACCAGAGATTTGAGGAGTTATGAGGGAGGTGAGGGTTAGAGTGATGCTCCTGAAGTTGTGGAGCCCAGAGAAGAAATGGATGGATGGGATGGTCCTTACTGTCACGCAAAGCAGCATGGGTCCTCGGATGATCCACCAGATTTTCTTATTTCCATTTGTTGCCCAGCACCTACGGACAAGATCAGGAGTAGGAGAGACATGAGATGAGGATGAATGTCCAAGCTTCATGCCCTATGAAAGAAGGATGCTTGCCTGCCTTCAAGATCAACTGTCTACCAGCCCATCTCCTAGAAGGAGAGATGAGGGCAAAAGAGAACTATTGACTTCCTACCATGAAATTGCTCTTCAGCATTAGGAGTGTACTGCATAGACCCTTTCACATTTTCCTCCATGTGCATGCAAACAAAAACCCTGGGTTATATACCCTTATTACTTTACCCAATAGTTGGTTTTCCTTATTTCGAGTATCACTTACATACTTAGAAATATATGTGGATATCCATATGTAAATATGAAGGCTGGATGATGGTTATTTGGAGGGAAAAATAGATCTCACGATATTTTTTAGGAATCGGCTTAAAACACTTGCTGAGATTCAGTTCCTACAAGTTGGGAGATTCAGACCTAACTTGTGTTTCTTGGTGTGTTTTAGTCTTTGAATTGTATTTCACAATATAGCTGTGCCACATTGTGCACAGTGGTTCTTCCATCAATGTGCATCCAGGATGCTGTTTTCTCTCACACGAACAAAGCTATAGCATCTCCTCTGCTTCTGTCTCTACACACCCAGCACCATAGCTGGTCCATACAGCATCCTTGATAATTTACATGTGTAACTTATAGGCTTCTACAAGATCTTTGACTACTTGTCTACACTCCTGTTACACTCTAGAAGGACAACATGGGAGAAATTGCAGTCTCTTTGGAAATAGGACATCATTTCCTATATTTGGGCATCTCTGGGGATTGCTTGTCCAGGTGGATTACCTACCCTATGTTCTCCAGGTGTGCACGGGCGAAACCCCAGGGAATGACAAACAGCATTGGGAAGGCTGTGTAGAAGACAGAGAAGGGAGTTGAGAGCTGCTTGTCTAGTACCGCCTGCTCCCCACCAGCCTGATGGGGCCCAGCACAACACGTCCCAAGTGTTAAAAACCAAATATAGAACCACAGACTCTGAGAACTCATGAGGCTTAGGGTAGCCCAAGACTAATCATGGCTCTACTGTCAGAGAAGCTGGGCCCTGGGGAGAAAAGGTTTAGAATAAATCCATGGGCTTCAGTCAAATTTTTCATCAGGAATATCAGGGTCCATTTACTTCCTCTGAATCCTATAACATCTAATTGACCAAGGGCTTATGGAAACCAGAGTTCCAGATCAGAATACCCTGTTCATACTTTTTTTTTTTTTTTAAGATTTATTTATTTATTTTGTATACAGCATGTATGACCAGAAGAGGGCACCAGATCTCATTACAGATGGTTGTGAGCCACCATGTGGTTGCTGGGAGTTGAACTCAGGACCTCTGGAAGAGCAGTCAGTGCTCTTAACCTCTGAGCCATCTCTCCAGCCCCCCTGTTCATACTTTTAAGATGATGATGCTGCTGATAGTTTTCCCAAAAGCCTTATTGTCACAGACTGATGGATTGTGTCATCCCAAAATTCCTTTGTTGAAGATCTGTCACCACTGTGGTGGTATTTAATAATGGGGAATGTGGGGAAACTAGGTTTAGACGGTGTTATGAGTTGGGGTCCTCACAATGGGATTAGTGTCCTTATGAAAAGAGATTGGAGGTCTCGTTTTCTCTCTCTCTCCACCACGTGAGGACACACGTGAGGGCAGTTTTGTGCACACCAGGAAGAGGGGCCTCACCAGAACGCAAATAACTGTACTCCCAGCTTCCTAAAGCAGGAGAAACTAGTGTCTGCTGCTCAAGCCGCACAGGTATTTTGTTATGGCATTGTGAGCAGTCTAATGCAGTTGGAAAGAGGGCAAGAAGGATGTCATCTGGTGGTGCCAAAGATCTTTCCATTTTTGCATGTGTGCATTGGGCATACAGAACCTGTGCTTGTGCGTGTATGTATGTGTGTATGCACATGCATGGACGTGTTCCGATGGGTCCCTGGGAGAGAAGATGGGAGTCACGTCACTCACCCCAGCCCACCACCAGGTATCTGGGCCACAGCCGCCTTTCAGGAAGCATGGTGGGCTCCAGCAGAGCATGGAGGTAAAGTCCTTCCACCAGCAGCCACAAGTGATTGGCCCCCACAAAGTAGTGCAAGAGGACCTGGACGGAGCGGCAGGAGGCGGATATCTGCAGGGACAGAACCTGGGTGAGTCCTGGCATTCCCAACACCTAGATGAGCATGACCTGCCCAAGTACACACATGCCCAGACCTGTCCTCCCCTCTTTCCTGAGCCCTTGCTGACTACCTCAAAGAGGCTGGCAAGAAGGCTTCAGGGAACTTTTAAAGATCAGTCTCTTCCTTGACATTCTAGGCTTTCTTTTTCCTTTTGTTTTTGTTTTGAGACTGGGCCTTATATATCCCAGGTCAGGTTTGAACTTGTTATGTAGTCAAGGATGACCCTGAACTTTTGATCCTCCTGCCTTCTACTTCCTAAATGCTGGGATTACAGGTGTGAGCCACAGATCCTTGTTTATGTGGTTCCTAGGGAACCTAGGACTTCATTTATGCAAAGTAAGCATCACATGTAGACTAAAAAAAAAAAAAAAGCAAGGTCTGGAGAGATGGCTCAGTGGTTAAGAGCACTTATGGCTCTTACAGAGGACCTGGGTTTGGTTTCCAGCACCCATGTGGTGGCTCACAGCAGTCTGTGTAACTCCAGTCCCAATGGACCTGATGCCATTTTCTGGCTTTCTGGAGCTTCTTCGTGTACATGGTGTACACACACACACATGCATACAAAATTAAATGGAGAAAGAAAAAAAGGAGGGAGGGAGGGAGAGAGGGAAGGAAGGAGGGGGAAGGGAGGGGGAGGGGGAAAGAGGGAGGGAAGGAGGGGGGGAGAAAGGACACAAAATCAGAGAGAGTTTACCATTAGTAACAGCCCAAATGAAAGGATGGAAGGGCCAGTTCTCTAACCTCAGTTCAACTAGACTAGGAACTGCAATAACTAAAAAAAATCTTCACACAACTAAAAATCATCACATGGAGTTCTTAACAAATAAGGAATGCTTCTTGAACTTAATGTTAAAAAATATATGGTGTGACAAATTTTGTATTTATGCAACTAATATCAAGCCTAGAATGAAACTTCTGCCCTTAAGTGGAATTATCTGAAAAGAGAAGATTGAAGATCAGTTACCACAAGCTCTTGTGAGAAAAGTTAGAAAAAAATAATGGCAGATTCAACCCAAAGAAATTCCACGGAAGGAAATAATGAAAGTAGAAATGAATGCAAATGAGAATATAAACTAAAAGGCTCAATAATGCCGAGAGTTTGTTCTTGGAAAAATCCAAAAAGAATTGAGAAACGTCTAGCTACAAGTATCCAGGTGTGACAGTAAAGCAGCAAAGATATGAATAATCAAAACTGAAAATGAAAACACAATTACAGACCCCCACAGACTTGAAGAAAAGCGACAGAGAAGGTCATGAGCAATTTTATGCCAAGAAACTTGAAAGGCTGCATGAAATGTATAGACACTAGAAAAAAATGGAAATTTTGAATATGAGATCCACGGAGTAAGGGCCCAGTGAGCTGGCTCAGCAGGTAACGGTGCTTGCCACTAATCCTGACCACCTGAGTTCGAACCCTGGGACCCACATGGTGGGAGATAAAAATCAACTCCTTCTAAGTCTCCTCTACTTTGACCCCGTATGCTCTCCTGTACCCACAAATAAATCAATGTAGTAAGAAAGACTCATGGTCAATCTATGACTCTACAACATGTGTGTATGTGGTGTGCATGTGCATATGTGTGTGTGCATTTTCAAATGTGTGGATTCATGTGTATGTAAGGGGTCGTGTGTGTGTGTGTGTGTGTGTGTGTGTGTGTGTGTGTGTGTGTGTGTAGAGGTGAGAGGTTGACACTAGCAATCTTCTTTGATTGTGCTACACTTCATGTATTGGAGCAGAGTCTCTCACTTGGACCTAGAGCTTGCTGATCGGGCTAGCCTAGCTAGCCAGCTTGTTCCAGTTCTCTGACTTGCACAGCAAGTCCTTTACCCACTAAGCCATCTCCCCTTCCCCCGTAACCTAAAACCCACTAGGACAGGGGCATGGTGGCACCCACCTGTAATGCCAGCACTCAGGAGGCAGAAGCGGGAGGATCAGCCTGGGTTACACCGTCAGTCTGTCTCAACAAAGGACTGATCTAGTCTTTTGCTTGCAGGTCACTATGGCGAGCCCATCAGCCTCTAGATCCGTTGACCCGACCCACTCCGGGGAGGTTGGTTTTAAGTCATACGCTGCCTCTCTGTCGGAGAGGCTTTAAGACCTTTTATCTGTCTCCCTCGTTAATCCACACCCCCCTCCCCACAGGTCTGCCCCATCAGGTGGGAGGGGATTACCTCGGACACATAGGACATCCATCCGCTCTCATTGTCAGGCCTCTTGGAGTAAGAGTTGTAGAAGATGATGTCTTTCACCAAGACGGCCAGCGCTCTCAGGATGAACGAAGCAAACAAGTTCATGTGGATGTAATTGCGTGTGCAGTGCAGCTTTCTGCACAAAAGAGCACCAAGTGTCTTCCCTCAGGAAAGAATGGCTGGAAGTGCAGACCTGGCCGCCTGTGCCTCTGTCACTCAAGACAGAGGTGCACAGTCCAGGCTGCTGGTCTCGATGATCTTACTTCTCTGTGCCTTACCCTCCCCATCTGTAAAATGGGGCAGTAAGTTGCTCCCTAGATAATATGTTTGGCATGCCAGGTCATGTGTACAGGGACCTATGGTACCTTCACCTCTGGCTGCCACTGGAGGAGCAGGCACTCTTATAACCCCGATTTTGCAAATGGGCAAAGTCCCCAGACAGTGAGTGGTGGAGCTGAATTTAGGCCTAGAAATGCAGAGACCAGGATCTGGCTCATCAGGGCTCAGCTGTCTCTGAGAATTAGAACATTTATCTCAGAGGCCAGGGAAGATCACATCCATTAACTCATATAAAATCATGTAACAGGTGTCCAGAAAAAAATGTCATCTTTAATCACTTCTGCCTGGGGTCTCCCCCTAGCTCTCTGTTATTCAGACTGCTATGCCACTGTGCATCCTCAGTCTGTCTTTCCACCTCTGTGCTTTTGATGCAGCACCTACCCCATCCAGCTTCCTTTCCTCCTGTTGTTACCTTGGCAACTTCCAAATGGAGGTGGGCCCTTGCCTTTTATGATGTATTGCATGCTTTTCCCTGGCTAGACCAGGGGGGTCAAGCAAAGCAGACACTTGCCAAGTCCAGCCCTGATGAATTCACCTCCTGCTGGACCAGACGGTTATATTCTGCTGGCTCGGGCTGGGCACTTTGGGAAAGTGCATGGAGAAAAGGGGTTAGTCTATAATCAGTAGGTACTGGAGGTGGAACTTTCCAACACTCAAGAGTGTTCTCCAGTAGGTAGATGTCACGGCTGCTCCTGGAGCCACGGAAGGTCATGAGGGAGACAAATGAGGCTAGATCTAGAACCAGGTGAGCCCAGGTGGGACACTCCACCTCCCATGTCTCCTGTCTTCATACAGGTTTCCTGCATTGGTACTGAATGCCCATTCTGCCATGTTAGACTGACCAGTGCCTCTGACCAAAGAACCTCCTTGGAGGACTTCCTGGTGGATTCATAATTGTCTCACTTAGGAGACACCTAAAGCATAGATTAGTAAAATGCACTGGGGCTTTGGAGTTTGAAACAGTGCAGTAGACCGATTGGTTGTGACCAATCAGTCACCCGATAGCTGTGTGGTCCTAGGCAAGTCATTTCACCTTTCCATAGTTTAGTTAACTCACTTATAAAATAGGACAGCTAACAGTAACCTTCTAAAATTAGAATTAATCTTAAATCAGATGAGGAGGGGAATTACTGTGGCTGGCTGCTGGCTGGCGTCCACAGGCCTCATTCAAACCCTTGGTCTACTATGACTTTTCTGGAGGGAAGGAAGGTCTTGTGTGTAAACAACGGTTCTGGAGGGACCGAGGTTTGCCTGGGCTGTGGTGGTAAAGGGTGTGATCAGGAACTTAGGCAAAGACTCAGGAGTCCTACTTCAAGTTCTGCCTGTGTATCCAACTGCCTTTCCCACCAGTAGGGACTCAATGCCCCTCACTGGAACTTTCTGCCCTCTCATCTGAAAACGGAATGGATGCAACTCAAGCTTCCAGCTCTGACGATCCATGACATCATCCAGCAGACTCTTCTTCTGTCTCCTAGTGATGGCCACTGAGCAAGTTACAGGACACGTATCTGACCACATGCTGGGGTTCTACTCACCGAAGAAACAAGAAGAGTGTAAGAGCCAGGAAGAGGGAGATGAGAGAGAGGGAGTAGCCCACGGTGTACATCAGCTGCAAGGTGGACAGCAAGGCATAGTGATCCACCTGGACACAGGAAGAGCAGACATGACCACCAGGATGCAGTCTGCAACCCCACCTTCACCCCAGCTCCATGCCCAGAGTTACCAGGGGCCAGGCACAAACCGAGACAATGCTCTGAGTCTCAAGCCTGCCTATAGACCTTTCCTTCCCAACTTTTTTGGTATCCAAATAGGCAGCCCAAACTGCTTGTGGCAACTTCAGAGGCCACAAAGCCCCCATGAGTAAGAGCCCACCTGAGTCTCACCCCATGGCTGGACTCACAGCCCAGCACTCCTTCACCGGGAGTCACTATATCAGAAGGAATTGAATCCTAACCAAGGATGCCGTGGTCAGTTAGGGTGTGTTAATATGATAAATTGTCAGTTTTTAGATGTTAAATCAACGGTGTAATTGCACTCAGTCATGACACTCATTTCTTTCAGCACATTGTTTGGTTTAATTTGGTCGTCTCTTGTCTACGTCCATAAAGAATGTTTTGTCTTTGTCAGGTCTGGAGATATCTGTGTGACAGTTATCTCATAGACTGATTGAACAAGTGCCGCTTCTTCAACATTCTGGGAAGTTTTACAGAATTTGTAGTAATTTTTTCTCTCCTTTTCTTTGAAATTTAATCAGCATTTGTTTCACAAGTTTTGAGAGCCTGTTAACAGATGGTGGCTGCTGTTGTTGTTATTATTATTATTATCATCATTATTACTATTGTATGTACCCTCCTGGTGAATTTACCTCACTATTATGATATTTATTTATTTAGAGGCAGGGTCTTACTATGTAGACCAGGTTGGCCTTGAGCTCACAGAGGCCCACCTGCCTCTATCTTCCAAGCATTGGGATGTGTGCCACCACACCAGTTGAAATGGTACTCTATGTCCTGGTGATATTCATTACCCTGAAATCTACTTCGTCTGATAGCAATGTAACAATCTCCCTTCCTTCTAATTAGTATTGGTTTTCAGTTGTGATGGCTTGAACAAGAATGGTCCTCATTGGCTCGCATGGTTGAGTACTTGGGCTAGTAAGTGGAACTACTTGAGAAGGATTAGGGAGTGTGGCCTTGTTGGAAGAGATGTGTCTCTGGGTTGGGCTTTAAGATTTCAAAAGACTCAAGCCATCCCCAATCTCTTTCTCTCTCTACCAACCATTTGCATATGAGGATGTGAGCTCTCAGCTCTTCCTGCACCAGGACTTTGCTCCACCATCATGGACTCTCACCTTCTGAAACCATAAGCCCCAAACTAAATGTTATCTTCTGTGAGTTGCCTTGGTCATGGTGTTTTACGACAGCAATAACAAAGACAACAACTTACTGTTGTATCTTTTAAATTTTTACCCTGAAGATTTGTATTTGAAGTGACTCTCTTACAGATACCATCTTGCTGACTTTTGCCCTTTTTTTTTTTTTTAACACAAACTGCAATCTACCTGCTTGGGATGTTTAGACCATTTATATATATATATTTTTCTTTTTTGGTTTTTCGAGACAGGGTTTCTCTGTGTAGCTTTGCGCCTCTCCTGGAACTCACTTGGTAGCCCAGGCTGGCCTCGAACTCACAGAGATCCGCCTGGCTCTGCCTCCCAAGTGCTGGGATTAAAGGTGTGCGCCACCACCGCCCGGCTGACCATTTATATTTAATGCTGTTATTTATCTGGCTGGGTTTGACTCCAATGGTCTTTTTCTTTGACGTATATTTTCTTTACCCTCTTCTTTTACTGTCTTATTTTGAATTGACTGTGCCTTTATTCTCTTTCTGTGATTTAGTGTGCCTTCTTCCAATTTTCAGTGGCTGCTTTGAGGTTTATAGTAAACATTTTTAATTGTAGTCTACCATGAAATAATGCTTTATCATTGGATGCATAATTTAAAAACATTGCCATTGTATACTGACACATCCTCCATCCTGGCCATTTTGTTATTGCTGCCCTCCATCCATTTACTACAACACATCCCACAGGCTCCTGACCCATCATTACTACTTTTGCTTTAACTAGTACTCCATCTTTTGAAATACGATTATCTCTTGTTTATGCCATTGCTATAGTGATCTTTATTCCTCTGTGTGGATCAAAATGTCCACATCGTATGTTTGGTAATCTAGATGCAAAACTTTTTTACTGTGGGTTTTGTTGTTTGTTTGTTTGTTTTTGTTTTTGAGACAGGGTTTCTCCGTGTAGTTCTGGTGCCTGTCCTGGATCTTGCTCTGTAGACCAGGCTGGCCTCGAACTCACAGAGATCCGCCTCTCTCTGAAGGATCTGAGTTCATTTCCCAGCACTCACATCAGGAGGCTCAGAACCTCCTGTAACTCCAGCTCGGGGACAAGGAAGATCTGATGCCTCTAGCCTCCATGGGCACCTGCACTCATGCGCACACAGACTCATAAATATACACATATTTTTTTAAAGTCTTCCATAAATGCCTCTCTGTTTATGACAGCTCTTATCATCACGGCACTTGGGACTGTTCATAAATTGGGACACCAATTGTATCACTATCATTATTACTATTACTATTTTTATTTTATTTTGTTCCGTGCATGTGTGTACATATGTGTGCATGCATTTGTGATGGTGTGTGTGCACACTCATGTGTGTTATGTGAACTAAAGTGCACTCCCCAGCACCTGTGGAAGCCTGATGCCGATGTTGGATGTCTTCCTAGGACACTCTCTGACTTACTTTCTGAAGCAAGGTGATCTCTCACAGAGGCTAGAGCTACCCAAATGGCGAGGCTGGCTGACCAATGAGTCAAAATAAAACAAAACAACAAAACAACAAACAACAAAACCCTGTCTTTGCCTCCTCAGTCCTGGGGTTATAGGTGTATGTCCTCAAACTCATTTTTTTTATGACAGGGTCTCACTGTGCTGCCCTGGCTGGCCTGGAACTCACAATACAGACCACATGGGCCTTGAACTTACAGAGATCGCCTGCCTCTGCCTTCTGAGTGACAAAGAGAAGAAAAGATCTACAAAGAAACCTTCGGATCTGCCAATTAGGTTTGTAGTGTCAACAGCAATATTGTTCTCTTAATTTTGAAACTAATATAGGAAAATGGACAGATGCGATTAACAGTTAGGGATGAAATCTCACAGTGTCTGAGAGGCATTTTCCAGTTTTCCAGAGAGAGAGTGAGAGCAGTTATGACCAAATGTGAATACATTGGAATCTGGGTGGTAGATATTGTATTATTCTTTTAACAATTGTATATGTTTGAATATTTCAAGGTAAAATGCCAGGAGGTTACAATCAGCTTTTCAAGTGTTAAATTATATTAATAATTTAAATGTATCTCTACGATGAAACATTCCTGTGTCAGAATTCTGTGGTTGTGACAATGTCTATAATAAACAATTGGAAGGAGGAATGGCTGATCTTGACTCGTGGTAGGGAGGATGTGAGGGGGCGGGGCAGCTCCTGTCAGGACAGCTGGAAAGCCGGGTGAGCAAATCCTACACTCTCTCCTCTTCCCCTTCCTCCCCACTTTTATCCCACCTGGACATCCCATTGTGGGATGGCAGAGCCCGAACTCAGGGTGTGTCCTCCTCCTTTTGTTAGTCCATTCTGACAGCCTCACACACATCCTGGAGGTATGCTTAACTAACTTCCTAGGAGATCTCAATCCAGCTGAGTGACAACCAGGCTTAACCATCACAACTATATATTACAATTTTACCCTTGGGCCAGTAAGACGGCTCCACACATAAAGGCGCTTGCCTCCAAGTCTGATCTCAGGGACCCACACAGGGAAAGTGGAGGACTTACTTCCACAAGCTGTCCTCTGATCTCCATACAAGTGTGTGCCATGGTGTGCAACACACACACACACACACACACACACACACACACACACACACACACACACACATAAAAATACTTTAGAGTATGCCCTATGCAATTTTATAATTGATAAATGTATAACAATTAAATTCTATATTTGGAAAGCCCTCTACATAAGAGTGAAGAAAACAGTCTGAAGTAAGATAAGAACTGACCCCCATACTATTAAATGGAAATCCACACACAGACGACTCTGAACACAGTGTTCACTTATTTGTGGATACCACAGACACAGAGGCAAGAAATGCACTTAACATACATAAGGATTCCCAGCGTGCTGTTAGCCGAACATAACATAGTTTGCTTGCCAAAACTCTGAAGGGCAAAGGTTTACTAACACTGACCTTTTTTGGGAATAATTTCAACCCACTCTGTGAAACACAGGTAAACATGGCCAGAAGCTTTTTGTTTTTAAGTATTTGAATTCTTGGAAATACAACTTGCAGAAGGAGGGAAGAAAGGAAGGAAGGAAGGAAGGAAGGAAGGAAGGAAGGAAGGAAGGAAGGAAGGAAGGAAGGAAGGAAGGAAGGAAGCAGTATCCTTGTTTCCCACCCCCTCCCTCTGCAGGGCATATTATCTTTGAGATGGGGTGTCTAGGTGAGAGCAGCTTCAGAACTCAAGGCCATCCTGCTTAAGCCTTCCAAGGGCTGCAGTCACAGGCCTACACCCCTATTGTGCTCACTTTTTGAGAGGCAAATCTCTACTTCATGTTTTTCTGCTCTCTGACTTGGGGAATGCTGCCAAGCAGACCAAAGTGGGGTTTACATCTGCCAGTGCATCTGACTGCATACAAGAATTACCTGAGGAAATCTAGCATCAGTATTGAGATCTAGACTCCACTGTAGACCCTTTGACTCAGAATTCATGAAGTCTTTCATTCAGCATATATTAAGTGTCTACTATACATAAATCCTATTTTGCATACCATTTTGCTAGGGTTTGGGAATGGTATCTAATATGATGGTGACAGTTCGATTGTTCTTAATTTGCATCACAAAGAAAGAAGATAAGAAATTCATATTATGGGCTTCATTCAAAGTATGAAATTAGCATAACTTAGACATTATGTCATAAGCCAGGTAGTCTTGAGATAAACCTCATGTGTCACTTTAAACCCTTTAAGAGATGGGACCTGTCACACAGTAAAACTGTATAGGGAACACAGAGTTCTACCAACTCAAAACAAGAAATAAGACTCCTGGCTCATCACCCTCTTCCTGTCTCCAGCCTGGCCAGTCCCACCACGCTCCAACCTGCACAGAGATGCTATCAGCACCTGTTCTAAGCTCTGACCCTCTGTACTTCAATCTACAGTACAGGCAGACTTTGCCTTCTCACCTCCCTAGAGATCTCCAGACCCACTGCGTCTTCTTCCTCTCTACACAGAAACACTCCAAGTCACCTCTTAAAAGGAGGCATCATCGGGGTGAACCACGATGGTGAGGGATAGGCAGCCACAGGGGAGCAGGGGAAGGCATCCCAGGCAGTGACCAGCAAGGTAAGGGCCATACTGCAAGAGTGACTTCCCTTAGACTTTCCCATCTCTCTCCGGAGGTGGCAGTCCACCCACTCTTTGACCCTGAGTGCGTGCTTTCCCTTCTGCCGAGGACCTTCTTGCTCTCCTCCTTCCTTCTCGCCCTCAGTCTCAGATTGGGCAGCCTTCCATGCCCTGAGACTGCATCAGTGCCCCTTTGCTGTGGCTCTGAGCATCCTATACTTTTGTCCTAGCCGTTACTCAACCTGCCTCTAAGGCCCCACAAAGCTTCAAGCTCCTTAAAATCAATGTGCCTGACTGGTTACCTGTGTCTGCTACCCAAACCTGGCATGTAGGAAGTGTGCTTCATTACTGTGTATGACGTGACCAAAAGGGATGGGGGGAAGACATGCCCTACACATCTGTCTAATTCCCCAACATCTCCTCCTCTCTCTCCTACGCTTCCCCTTTACGCATGACCTTGAGCACAAGTGAGCAGGGGTTTGAACAAACCAGTAGCTTTAGGAAGAGAGTGGGAGCTCAATGAGAAAATGGAGAAGGTATGCTCCGAAGGGGGCTTCAGAGTCCAGTGCTGGAAGTGTTAGCATTGAGAACACAGAGACACAGCTCCACACTGTCACTCTCACTAGCTTAAGGAGTTCCCCCAAAGCTTCTAGGGACCTCAATTAGCCCCAACCCAGGACTCGGGGCTTTGATGATGAGAGGAATTCCAGGACTAGCCAATACAGTGATGCAGGGCTGGGGTTTTATTAGAGATATTTTAATACAGGCTTAAGCACCAGGGTCACCACGGAGGTGCTCGGAGGAAGACACACCCGAGAGTGGGCACGGGCTCTCAAGGAGTGAGCACTTAGTTGTCTTAGCTTTGTACACCCTGTTGGTGACTCTGAAGCTACATCTCAAAAGATTGTAAAGAATCCTCACATCCCACCCCCTCTTTCGATCAGAGAGATACATGAGATGGCCCCAGAGACACCTTTCCTGGAATTACAATCTGATCAAATAAAATCAGAGGCTCCTAAGGTTACAGGAGTTTAGTACCCGTTCTTTCCCTGAACCTGAGGTTTCTGGTGAGATTTTTTAAAAATTGCAGGTTCCTGGCTAGCAGGGAAGCAGGGCTGTCATTTGTGCTGGGATTATTGCTCCCACTGCTGGCAAAGGCTTCCACCAAATTCCAGAGAGAGGGCCTTCTTTTCCCCACTTCTCATGTCCCCAAGACTCCCCCTGCCTTCCTATCCTGTCTCAGAAGAAAAACGGGTAGAACTGGGCGTTGCCACCCACACCTATGATCACAGCACTCAGGAGGCTGAGGCAGCAAGATCACCAGTTTGGAGCCAACAAGGCTTCAAAGTGAGACTCTGTCGAGCAGACAAGAAGAAAGAGGACAGGGAGAAAGGGACAGAAGGAGAAAACATGTGGAGGAAGTCTGGAAGGTGACTTGCTCATTAACTCCGCATTTACTGAGCTGCAGGGATGACAAGCTGAGCGGTTCATTCTCTGGATTCTGGGTCCTGGCGACAGAGCATAACTCTTACTTAGAGCTTGCTAACTACAGCCAGGACTTCCCTGTGAAATTTATGTCTCTTGAGTGCCCAGAGTCTCACGATGATCCCATGCAGCAAATATGATCCCCTGGGGATGATGTAGGAAGCAGAGGCACCAAGGATGAAATAAAGGGTGTAAGTTCACAGGCAGTAAAGGAAGAAGCTGGATCTGTGACGAGTCTGGCCCCAGAAACTCATGCTGTGCTGCCTCCCTCTAGGCACACAAGTCCTTAGATGCCACTGGATATGGGCTTTGGAGGCATGCCTAGATAAGGAATAAGCAAGCAAGAGACTGCCAAAGAGAGGCAGGGGCAATAGGGGGAATCCATGAGGAGTGTGGTACAAGTGGCCACTGGGCTTCTCTGAATGGGGCCATGGGCCGTCTTGCTTGCTAGGAGACAGCTGAACTGAAACCCCAATGCTGGGTTGTTTGGGGGAGCTGTTCCAGACACGGGACAGAGCAGGGGCCGAGGCTGGGACGCTTCTGAAAGAGTCCCCTTAAGATGTCATGCTTCATCTCACAGAGAAGTAAATTCTGTGGCTGCCATGGGAGTTGCCGTTTAGGTGATTGTAGACCTTTCCTAGTGGAATCCGGAGCAGATGAGCTTGTGGAATGTCCCGTGTGTGTCCCCCCAAAGCTGGCCATCCCCGCGGGTGTCCCACGTTCTGGTCCCAGGTGCTTTATCAGCAAACCGGTAAACTCACGTTTTGTTTGAAGCTGTGGTTCTCTGCACATTCTGAGTCATCCTGCCAAACAGCCGTGGCGTTCTCTCGCGTCTGCCAAGTCCCCTGAGCCAAGCAGTGTCTGTAGGCCCTTCCTGGGCTCTCTGAAAGTAAACAAGGCTCTAGAGGAAAGGTCAAAACACACAGTCCGTTCCCTGAGCACGCTGGAAGGTCCTCACCCTTAGCTAAAAAGCTGTGGAAAATCCCAGGGAAAAGGAGTTTTCAGTTCTCCGTTTGGGGGCTCATTAGCATTCCTATTGTTTATTTGGGATGGGAAAAACAACATGGAAGCGTCTAGGTTTTGTAACTAACCATGATCCTCTAACGTCCTCCGTAGTGTTTACACATTTCTCCGAAGTTAGAAGGCCCGGGCGACTGTAAGGTACAGTCTACTGGGAGAAGCGGACCTGGGCCCCTCCCTGCACATGCTCAGTGAGTCATCTCTCGCTACTGTCCAAGAGGTGGCGCCATGAAGAAGAGAAAGCCATTGGCACAAAGCAGGCGGACTCAGGACTAATACTTGATAAGCCGACTTTTGAGCAGTGTCCTGGATCCAGCTTTATAATCTCTGAGACTTATTGATGTCTTCATCAGGAGCCGGGTACAATACTGCTACCTATCCTCTGTGATGTGAAGGAAGACTGAGTGTGTGTGTGTGTGTGTGTGTGTGTGTGTGTGTGTGTGTGTGTGTGTGTGTTCAGATGATGGGTAAATCACTCAGTCCACACTGAGTTGTTGTCACTTGGCCACATCTACCCTAGAAGCCCCAATAAAGGTTTTCCTACCTGAAGGACCAAGTAGGATACACAAATGAGATGTGGAAATTTGCCCTAACGGTCTGGTCCAGACCCTCTACTTCCTACACTAACAGTAACTATTGGCCGTATTTAATTAATCGGTACCCACCCTACCCAGGAAGCACTTCCTGCTGCCCAGCTGACATCTCAAACAACAAATTCCAGCCAAGCTCTTCACCTTCTCCAAATCTGCCCCGCTCCAGTGGATGACAAACCCATCCTGACATCCCCTAGCCCAGAACCTTAGTCTCTGCTCTCTCTTTCTGCCTCTAGCCCCACCTGAACCATTAGCGAGTTGTATTCGCTTTCACATAGATCCAAGATCTGAACCTACTTTCTATATCCCCCTTTCTACCTAATTAGAAATCTTATTTCTTCCCTGGCTTATTGCTAACTCTGCTGATGGTACTGCCCTCACAGCTATGGACAGCCCAGTTGCCATGCTTCAGCTCAAAATCCTCCAAGGGCTTTCTAAGCATAAGTGAGAGTCCTTCTGTGGCCATCCACAAAGGCTTGTAGGAACTGGGCTCCAAACCTCTCTGCCCTCGCCTCATATTGTTTCTCTTCCTCCTTAGCTCCATCTGTGTGTATCATCTCCCCTTCTTGGAGGCATGCTCCTCTCCAGCACAGGCCACTGTTTATTATGTGCTCTCTCCGGAACACAACCCCTTTTGGGCTCAAACTCTTAAGTCTTCAATGAGGTATCATTTTGTCATTGAATCATCTTTCAGCTACCCATGGCCCCCACCCCAGTCCTCCCATTCCATCTCCAGCTCCATCGTGTCTACAGTATATCACATCTATACTTAGAGAAGATGCCCATGATCATTGTCTGCCCTTCTTCCTACAATGTGAGCCTTAGGAGAGGGATTTTATTCTGGTTTGGTCACTAATAGATCCCAAACATTTAAAAATGGTGGTCAGCACGCAATGGGTACTTACTAGATAGTGTTAAATGAAAAAAATTACAATAATGCCACTTGGAACCTGTGCTGTCCACGACAGTCATAATGCTCTGCTGAGGACACAGCTCAAAGTTGAGCTGGGAAAATGTGCATGAAAGTGTCATAAATTGTTACAAATGCTAAGACAGAGGCTAAGAGAGGCTCCAGAAAGACAGGGGTCCATTGACTTCAGGGGAGAAGCCAGAAGAATTTTCTAGAAGGATGGGAAATTCAAAGTAAGAATTGAAGTTGGGCCGGGCGGTGGTGGCGCATGCCTTTAATCCCAGCACTCGGGAGGCAGAGCCAGGCGGATCTCTGTGAGTTCGAGGCCAGCCTGGGCTACCAAGTGAGTTCCAGGAAAGGCGCAAAGCTACACAGAGAAACCCTGTCTCGAAAAACAAAAAAAAAAAAAAGAATTGAAGTTGGACTTATAGGTAGAGTTTTAAGGGAGTATCCTGAAGAGAAGAGGGAACACAGGCATAGGCTAAGGACAGTGAAGCCATAATGGGGTGCAGACAGTGCAGCCATCATAGAATGGAGATACACAGCTGTAATGGGGTGGGTACAGAGCAGCCATCATGGTATGAGGACCGTGCAGCCGTGATCCCACACTGGAAGAATGAGTTATGGTCCCGGAGGGAAAGAAAGAAATGCTCATATCCCTCCTTTGGGCTATGAGGCTAACACCTCTTTTCAATTGCAAAATTGTTATGTTTTTCAGGCATGTAGGAACCCGAGCTTGAAACTGCCTCCAAAGAAAGATGTAAAAGACCCTGCACCTCACAAAGGAATGGGCCAAGAGACAAAGAACTCTGCCAGGGCTGGAACAGGTGGAGAATCTCACACCCACCATCCCATAAGACCCTAAAACTTTTCAAAAATAGAGGGTTTTAAGACATAATGTCTACCCTACTTTGCTCTGGCCTGAATTGAATAAAAAGCCCTCTGTAACAGGGAACAGAGATAGTAGAGGCCACCTGGAGCTGAATCACCTCCCTCCAAGAAAGGATGGCTGAGCTGTCTGTTAGAACGATGTATCTTCTGACTGTTTCCTACAAGTTGTAAGTCACCACGGTCATGGTGTTGAGGAAATGAGATCTTTCCTGCCATCCCGAGCTGGGCCAAATTGTAAGTCAATCTACTTCCCTTCTATAATTTCTAGTTCCTAATTTCTTTTGGAAACCACGGAAACTGAGGCAGTGGGTAAGGACTGAAATGTCTGGTAGCAACCGCTGAACAGATGGACAAGCCTGGGAGCTATTCATTTTGGCTGCAGGGGAAGAGAGAAAGCAGGACAGGATGCCACAGAAGGTCAGCAGGGCCATGTTGCAGAAGGTCACAAATGCCATTCGTGATTCTCGAGATGGGGAGCCAACAGTGGCTGGCATTTTATAAAGCTTTATAGGAGGTGGTGGCAGGGGATGAGATCTGAGGCTGGGGCAATAAGGATACCAGGAAGCAGCTAGGTGAGATGAGGCTGCTGAGCTACCACAGCACCATGGGGGAGGAAATGGAAGAGAACCAGGTACCAACCGGATGATGCGGAGTTAACACAGGGCCAGGGGGAACATGAGTCCACGCCTAATGGGGAAAAGAGGAGGCTCCTGCATTTGTTTCTCCTAATCTATTTCCCACTTCTTTCTGTCCCTCAGTTTCTGTCCCGTCTGATGTATCTATCTATTCCAGTATGTTCTCTAAACTTTTCTTTTTCTCTCCAATTTCTGACTCTGCTTGAACCCAAACCAATGCCACCTCTTTTTGTGGACTGTTCTGGTAGCTCCCAGACGCTCCCTCATAATCCCCCCTGCATCTCCCAGTTCAAGACCCCGTGCTGCAAATGATGACTTCCCAAACTACATTTCTCTTGGGCCCCTCTCATGCCTTGACGCCTTCTGTGGCTCTGGGTCATTCTCCTCTGCCCTACAGTGCACTACGGTTTTCTTCCTTGCTGGTCAGGTCTAGATCCCAGACAACCCATCTGTCCATCATCTGACTCCCTCTGTGCATCATAAACTCATTTCTATGATCCCATCTCAAAGAATTCACTTGCACCTCTTGATATTTGGGATGATTCTTTTCCATGTTCTTTTTTGGACTTTAGAAATCCATTTGGATTCTAAAATTGAATATAAAAGAATGTTGAATGAGAGAGTCAGTTCCCATGTTTTACAAACCAAATTCCATTTAGTACACTCCAGCAACTAAAAGCCCAAATTAACTTCTTTGTAGCCTTGGGTTTAGGACCACATTTTCTTCCCTAGGTGGAATGAATCTGGACTTTTCAGTTACTGGGAAGGACAAAGAAAATGGTAGAGCTAGAGGTTGTGTCTGTCCATGCACCATGGATGACCTTGTAGTATATGGAGATCTGAATGATCTAAGGGCAGCAAGGGTTTCAACCTTGGGACTCCGCTTCAGCTCTTACTTCTGAAGTGGTTACTAGGGTCAAGCTCTGTCAAAATGATCTTGAGAGTCAATTCACTTTACAGCCTTCTCTGACTTCCAGGCTCCCAATTTCACAGCCAATGTTCTTCCCGTCTCTCTTGGAGCTGGTTGCCATGAGGACTGTCTTCTTGAACCTTCTAAACCTCTCTGAGCCCAGAAAGCTCTTTAGTAACATCCCTTGGAATTCAGAGCCCAGAAGTCAGACTCAGTCCCTCTGTTCTGTTGGGGGATGTTCCTAGAGACCTCAAGACTGTGGTTTCCCTGTCTGGAAAGTTATTGAATTCTCCATCCAAGTTCCATGGTTCGACAACACCAATTTAATGGTACTTCTTTCAAAGCTGATATAAAGAAAGGCTTGGGATTATTTTTCTCTGCACAAGAAGCCATACGTTGTACAAATAAAAGCTTCCCAGTCTTTCTCATGTCCTTTTCCTCCAAATGACCAAGGTTGAAACCCTTGCATCCTTCCCACAACACTCAGGTTCTGTGGGAACTGAATCTGGACTGTAATCTATATGTTAGCCCAAAAGTACTGTATAAGTGGAGCAGACAGGAGCCTACAAATTACAGGAAGACAGGGGGAATGAAGGGTATAGTTCAGTGATAGAACATTTGTCTAGCATGCATGAGACCCTGGGTTTACTTCCCAGTGCGTAGAAGGGGCAGAGGCAAAGAAATAAGATACAATACAGAGATTATACAAGAATACCTTTATGAGGCAAGAAAATCTTAGGAGAATCTCTTGGTTAGAGTTCTGCCTAACTTCCCACTGGCTGCTCTACCAGGAGACTCTTTCCTTCAAAGGAACTGTCAGAGAGTAAGATGAGACCCATTACCTTCACTCCACCAAGGCAAGTATGAAGGGCAGGGAACAGAGACATTTCCAGGAGAAGAATGAGGCCAGCACACCAACTTATCGAATGTTCCATTGCAAAATATTCCTGTGGGGAGAAGAGAAGGCAGAACAAATGTCAGTGTTCTCACACGGAGTCTTCTGATAGAATCAAAAGCTCCAGAAGCTTAGAGCCTACTTTCC